AGGTAGTCCTTGCTGCAACACCCATAGATACTATCGATCCGAAAGAACTGCATCCATTAGTAACATCTGTTTGCGTTCTATTATTGAGATATGACATAATAAGTTTAAGTGCTATGTTTTTTTACACCATAATGATGTAGCTTCCCGATTTAAGTCTCATGGTGAACACAGTCGAAACCCTTGGAAAGATCACAAAATATACCCAAAGCATCTTCTGAATTTTCCCATGCACAGAAACTATGTTTGATTAGCTCAACACTGGCATCAGTTGTCGAGCGACCGCTTGTAAATCCAAAGCGATTGTTATGGAATAATTTATTTACATTAATAAAACTTAACATTTGATCTAGAATCTGCAGCTTGCCGCCGTGTTTGGCACTATAGGTCAGCTGATTGGGACGGGATGCGGTCTTTTTTTGCATCCTACCCTTGGGGGCGGGTTTGCTTCTCGCCGGAAGATCCAGCGTTGTTGCCGATTCTGTTGCTGATGTGGTACTTCAGGGTATGGAACTTTTTATTCCATCCTCTGTGGTGCCCATCGGAGGCAGATCCCAGCCATGGTTTGGTCGCTCCTGTAAAATAGCATCACGCTATAAGCAGGAGTGCTACCGGGCCTGGGCTGATGCATCAACGTCTCGGGATTTAAACACCAGCGCACTTAAAAAGAAGTATAATTCCGCCTCCAGGTCCTTCAAAAGCGTCATTGCCAAGGCAAGGTCTGAGCACATCGGCAGAATCGGCGAGAAGCTAGTTCGCCTTCCTTCGGGAACCCGTGCATTCTGGTCTCTCGCCAAGGCTGTCCAAGGGAACTTCTGTCAGCCATCCCTTCCATCTCTGCACAGGGAGGACGACTCACTGGCCCATGCCGCAAAAGAGAAAGCCGATCTGTTGTGCTCTCTTTTTGCGTCTAACTCGACTCTAGATGACGGGGGGAACACACCGCCGACCATCCCGCGATGTGAGTGCTCCATGCCGGATGTGCGATTTACACAGCGCTCGGTTCGCAAAGCACTCTTCTCCCTGGACGTCAGCAAGTCGAGTGGGCCCGATGGAGTCCCTCCCATTGTGCTGAAGACGTGTGCTCCGGAGTTGGCACCGGTTTTAACGCGTCTTTTCCGGTACTCCTACTCCCAAGGCGTAGTCCTGAATTCATGGAAGACAGCTTTGGTCCACCCGATCCCTAAAAAAGGCGACCGCTCAGACCCGTCCAACTACAGGCCTATCGCTATCACCTCCTTGTTCTCCAAAATAATGGAATCCATTATAAACTGCCAGCTCATGAGGTACCTTGAAGATCACCAGCTGATCAGTGACCGTCAGTACGGTTTTCGTCGGGGTCGATCAGCGGGTGATCTTCTAGTTTACTTAACTCATAGATGGGCGGAGGCAGTAGAGTCCAAGGGGGAGGCATTGGCCGTTAGTTTGGACATAGCGAAGGCCTTCGATCGGGTCTGGCACAAGGCGCTTCTTTCGAAGCTTCCTTCCTATGGGCTTCCCGAGAAATTGTGCAAATGGATCACCAGTTTCCTTGCTGATCGGAGCATCAAGGTCGTTGTAGACGGTGCATGCTCTGATTACAAGCCTATCAACGCTGGTGTTCCACAAGGCTGCGTGCTATCACCAACGCTGTTTCTCCTGCATATCAATGATATGTTGCTAACTGGTAGCATTCATTGCTATGCAGACGACAGCACTGGGGATGCCTTATATACCGGCCGTGCCAATATTTCTCGGGAAAACGTCGCCGAGTACCGGGACAAACTTGTGTCTGAAGTCGAGTCTTTGCTTAACAAAGTCTCGGATTGGGGCCGACTAAATCTAGTCCAGTTCAATCCCCAGAAGACACAAGTTTGCGCGTTTACCGCTAAAAAGAACCCCTTTGTCGTATCTCCTCAGTTTCAAGGCACTCCCCTTGCTGCCTCAGCCAGTATCGGAATCCTTGGCGTCGACATATCGAATAGCGTGCAGTTTCGTGGTCACTTGGAAGGGAAGGCCAAATTGGCCTCTAAAAAGCTTGGCGTGCTCAGCAGAGCGAGACAGTATTTCATGCCGGCACATCGCTTGCAACTTTACAAAGCGCAAGTTCGGCCCCACATGGAATACTGTTCTCATCTCTGGGCCGGGGCACCCCAGTGCCAGCTCCTTCCAATTGACCGCATCCAGCGCAGAGCGATTCGAATCGTCGACGACCGAGTTCTTTCCGATCAGCTCGATACACTGGCACTGCGTAGAGATGTTGCATCTCTTTGCGTATTTTATCGCATCTATCACGGGGAGTGCTCTGAGGAATTGTTCGGACTAATTCCAGCCGCTCAATTTCACCATCGCACGTCGCGACAAAACTCGCGTTACCATCCGTACCATCTGGATGATTGGCGGTCCACCACTGTGCGATTTAGAAGAAGTTTTCTCCCTCGCACAACTTCTTTGTGGAATCAATTACCACCAGCGAATTTTCCGAACCGATACGACTTAGGAACCTTCAAGAAAAGAGCTTACACCTTTCTAAAAGGCCGGCAACGCATCTGCAATTCCCCTGGTGTTGCGGTTGTTCATGGGCGGCGGTAGTCACTTACCATCAGGTGAGCCGCAAGCTCGTTTGCCCCCTATTATATATAAAAAAAAAAAGAATAATATTTTCAAAAATTTTACTGAATACACAAATAGGTCTAAAATTAGTGGGGACCAATGTATTGCCAGATTTAAATAAAGGTATAACTTTAATTTGCTTCATTAAATCAGGAGACACACCAGATTCAATACTAGCATTGAAAACTACTACTAGTCTTGATCTGATTTTGTCAAAGTATTGTTAAAATTTAATTGAAAGTTTGAGTTGTGTAGTTTCATGTTGCCAGTTTCATTATACTCCAAGTCATTTTAATTTTATTAGAGGCATCCTTAATTTTATTTCTTAAATATAAATACTTGGCTGCACTCTTTTAAATATTTTGGAATATATTTTTACATATTCTCTGAATGAAACACTACAATTATATAATCTTTCATTGTAAAGGTCATATAACTTTTGTCTACTCCTATGGATTCCTATTGTCGCCCACTCATTAAACGATTTGCGACTGTTTAAAGAGAGTGTTTTAGAAGTAAATGTTTTATTAAATTGAAGACTTATTGTTATTAGTTTAAATAATGATCCATATAAATAGTTAGTATTGTTTTATATGGAAGAAAAGGCAGCTTTTTCACTATAAAACTTCTAAATGTCTCTAAGTGATGTTCGTTTATTGGAACAACCACAACTTTTTTAACTTTCTTGCACTTTGTGCATGTAATGTAGCGAGACTAACTGTCCACAGTGATCAAAACTTAAATTTTGAATAATTAATTTAGGGCTCAACATCAGTAAAAATATTATCTACACAAGTTGCACTAGGCCATGCAATAGGTGTTGGCTCAAAGAACAAATTAATAAGGTTGTATGATTTGAACAATGATCTAAACTTATTACTCATGGAAGAAGTTTCAAGGAGATTGATATTAAAGTCTCAGATGAAGTAGACCCTGCGGTGGCTGACTTCTAAGTGAGCGGTGAGCCAAAACTGTCGCTATTTATACAAATATACTAAGAAACAGTGTTTTATCGCTTGACGTAGTTACTTACTACTTAAGTAGGGAGCTAAGTTTACTTCACCTGAGGATGCATCGTTTAGAGGTGAAACACGTGGTACGTCTTTCCTAAAGTAGTGGTGCTGGGATTAATGGCGACGGAGATAGTGCACGCAATTGAGGGAGGGCGGGAGGTGCTCTTCAAACTATGTAAGACACATCATTTTATTTCATTACGCGGATATTAGCTAAAAAAATTTTATACATCTTTAATTTAATGGATTTTTGCAAAGTTACACTTGATTCTACGAGTATTAATTATCAGAAAAACATTTGTAAATGATATCTGTAATGCTCACTATTATGTTCACTAATTCCTTTACTAGACTCACCCACACACACGTACGCGTCTTTCTGTTTGTCCTTGTGCAATTTATGTTTGTAAACTGCCTCTACGACACAGGAGAAAATCCTAGTGTGGGGGTAATTTAAAGAGAGAATTTAAAAATATTTCTCCTACAGTCGCCTCGCAATAACTGACCGACCGTCATTTATAGTTATAGGTATAGTCAATCCCCTCCATTATAACGCGGGCTTTCCCCACTACTACACTGCGCGCCATATGTGCCCGAGACAAGTATGGAACTTCTTATTTATACATGTATACGTATAAATACTAGGTGGATATAGTATAATATGTAAATTCACATACACTACAAATCTATGGCAATATGTACATACAGTTATGTGGCCGAGAGACCAAGAGACCAAGAATTTCATAGTACCTGACCTACCTAGTTACCGTTACGGTTACAGCCTATTAAAGTTCACTTAACATGGACTTCCTCATAGATTGCCTCATAGGGGGGATATTTCTTATAGTTTCCGCGCTTCACAGGTGGGTTGGCAAACGCAGTTTTAAATTTTTTTTTAGCTATAACTAGGAAAATGCTTCTGCTCATCTCCAGGTTTGTAGATATTCTTATATCGCATCGCCACTACACTATTCTGACCTACGTTAATATTTTATATGGGTTATCTATATTATATATATTATGGGTCGTCTCGCCCGGGGAAGGTCCACACTTTAGAGAATAACGGCGTTAAATGCTGCCGTGTTTCGTATTGTGATTGTAGAGAAAGGAAGACCCTTTTGGAATCAAGTTCCTTATCGCATAGTACGGATTTGGCGGATGGGGGCTAGGCGACAAAAAGTGTAAGATTTTTCCGTCACGACCCCTTCTGACGTAGTGTAGAGGGCCTTGGTGGCTATAAGAAAGCGAGTTCGAATAATATCCACCTTATTATAATAAGAAATCTTCAAAATTACAGAACAAAATTTAGAAAACTAACATTAAAATTACTTTATTATTGTGTAGTATTTGCGATAATAACGAATTGAAGTTTATTACTACTAATAGAAGGTACTTTACCTATGAATGAACCGCTGTACTTCCAAATATTTGCAGCCCTTGCAGACGTCCAGCGCGCAGAGCAGCAGGTCCTTCATGGTGAGCGCGCTCACACGCTCGGCCTTGGGCCGGCTCTCGCGCAGGAAGTTCTTCAGGTCTCCGCCGGCCAGCAGCTCCAGGACGATGAAACTGCCGATGAGTTATAATAATTATTTTAAACTAGCTGTTCCCCGCGACTTCGTTCGCGTGTTAGGGTTTTTACGTTTCCGCGCGGAACCCTGATTCTTTTTCTAAAATAAAAGTAGCCTATGTTACTCCTTATGAAATCAGATATCTGCCAGTGAAAGTCCCGTCAAAATCGGTTCAGCCGTTTCGGAGATTACCCGGAACAAACAGACAGACAGACAGACAGACAGACAGACAGACAAAAATTTTAAAAATTGTATTTTAGTTATAGGTATCGTATTTACTTTCATATGCATTTAGTAAAAAACTGTAATTTTGACATTACAAACAGACACTTCAATTTTATTTATTTGTATAGATAGTCGAGCAGCATTCTATTACTAATTAAACCAAGCGCACACGCACACGCACACGCACACGCACACGCGCACACACATACACACACACACACACACGCACACACACACACGCACGCACGCACACACACACACACACGCACGCACGCACGCACACACATACACACACACACACACACGCACACACACACACACACACACACACGCACACACACGCACACATACACACACACACACATACACACACACACACACACACACACACACACACACACATGTACCCGCACACGCACTCCCACGCGCATACGCACGCAAAATATATACCATCCGTTACAGCCTTTAATTTGTAAATTATAAGGTATTGTATTGTATGGCTCCGCAATACAATAAGAATAAGAAATTTCTATTAAGCGGCTAACTTGTTTACAAAATAAAATAATCTTACCGTGGATGCCTATCGAAACAAACGCCAATGAGGTGCACGATATTCGGATGATTGAACTTGGCCATGATCGCGGCCTCCATTAAAAAGTCGGACTCCGACTGTCCCGTGGAGAGCTCCGGCAGCGTCTTCACGGCGACCGGCATCTCCACCGTATCGCCGGTTCGGTGCCGGTACAGGCCCTGGTACACTTCGCCGAAAGCACCTTGCCCTAATGCCCTGGATAAATATTTAAAAAGTGAAGTGACATTAACTATACACGTCCCACGGCTGGGCACTGGCTTCTCATCTTTAAAAGATTTATGGAGCAGTGCTTGTGAAAGTAAACATCATGAAGGAAACATGTTTTAGAAATAACATAATACTCGTATTTAGAGGACAACGTCGAGCTTGGCAGGTATACGAAGCACAGCACACTATTGTACTGCTATTTCAGGTTAGGATTATGTGCGAGTGCGATGCTTCCCCTGTTGAACCGACCCATTCGCGTAGCCCTTACATGCATCAAATTTAATCATTCAATAATATTTATTACAAAGCAAAAAGGAACACATTCGACACAAGTTCCGAAATAATAGAACAGACAGAAACTTTTGTTATTCAATATAGATTATAAATAATACTTATTGAAAGTCACTCTTTTGTTTAATTATCACTGGTTAGAAAGAAAAACCTCTTTTCTTTTTTTTTTAAACGTTACCCCCACACTAGGATTTTCTCCTGTGTCGTGGAGGCAGTTTACAAACATAAATTGCACAAGGACAAACATCCAGACCCGGAACAATTATTAATTTGTAGCCCATACAAATACTTGTTCCGTGCGGGATTCGGACCCGCGGCCCCCAGCGCAACAACTGATTGCTAAGCCACTGCGCCACGGAGCCGTCAAGCCTCCCAGAAGAAGAAGAAGCAGCAAGAAACCCGGCGGGACATTTTTTTTTAAATAACAGCTTACAATCGTGTATGTTACACAAATTAACAACACAACAAATTAGAAATAGCTTGGTAGCGATCATCTCATTAACGATTAAAAGAAGGTTATTATTTATCATTATGTCAGTAGGAAAACAACAGCATAAAAGACTCACTTTACTAGCTTCAAGCTTTCGCGAGAAACCTTTGGCAGTCCCCTAACATCAACACCCTGAGGGAGGATGTTTTCTCTCCCGTAGTGCGGGTTGAAAGCCATAGACAAAGCATTCTCGTTCCCGCCTGGAGCATTCCTTAAACGATGCAGTTGAACTTCTTGCTCGAGAAGGCGCTTCTGGTTGAGTTCTTCTTCCTTCTTTCGCTGATATTTGTTATCTATTACAAAAAATAATACATATAAATAAACATGCTTTTTGTTTAACAGCTCATAAAAGTCATGGGTCTCTTTACTTTACCTTACTATACGAGTACACAGTCCACCTGGTGGTAAGTGGATCCTGTGACTTATAGACAACTAGCTTTATACTCGATTAAGAATCAAAATGCAGATGCGTTGTTACCCCTGGGGACTGTGATGGAACACCTCGTTTCTAGTAAAAAGGGTCTCTGGTCACACTTACTATACAAAACAAGGCAGCATTAAGCTGCTGTTTTACGCTGGTATTCTGAGGGAGTGTAGCCCTTCCTCGATCGAGCCGAACCATTCGTGCTACAACCATAATATAGCTGCAGCGTGGATCTACCACGTAAAAAATATTCTACTGTCGTCAATGGCAATGTCTCAAATAACGCCACATTAATAGATCTTCTCTCGTCGCTAGTATTTGCAGTCTGTTCACTAAGACAGTATCAGTACACCCGGAGGCACACTTGTAATTTTGCTTTTATTTTATAATTTTTTATTCTGTTTGTAAAATAAATATTTTTAATATTCTATATTTAAGAATAATATAGAATACTATTTTATTTTTATGGTTATTGTAATAAAATACGAATATAAAAAATAAACACAAGTCAGGTAGCAAAGAGTCTTTCACTACGGCGTTTCATTTTAAAATGCCAAGTTCTCCTGCGGGTGTACGCAACACGCGGCGAATTTGATGTCGCGGAATTTGATCAAGATGCGGCACGTGCCAAGGCGGCGTGACACAAAGGCGACCGTATCAAAGCGAACCGACTATAATAAACAGTTATCTTACAATGAGACGTGTACCTATTAATGTATATTAAACTTAATGATAATTTTGAATTTAGTTTACCAGACTAATAGCCAAATATTCAAACGCTACCCAATTTTAAAATGCCGTTAAGTTTCGTGGTGTCACAGTCACTTTGACCATAGAATTACCTGATAATTCTATGACTTTGACTTAAAGAGATATAGACATCTAATAATTATTAATATATTAAGAAATTTAAATTAAAACGGCAACATAATCTTGTTCAAAAACAACAATTAGTTAGTCTTAAATTAAGTAGTGCTTGTGTAAAATAAATCAACAATCCACCGTTAAGTGTGAAAATCAAAAATGTAGACTTACAAAAATGTAGAGCGATGCACACCACGAACAATATGCAGCAGCAAACAGAAGCTGCGCCGAAACACAGCAGCACCCAAGAATAAGACTGCTTTTCCACTGCGAAAAACGCTGTTAAGATCACTATTATTGTTAAAAAGTCCACCTCATCTGACAAGCTGTCGAAGTCTGTAGCTTTAAGACTGGTATTAATTTGCTTTTCTCTATAGTTAAGTAATCGACAACGTCCGGTAAATTTGTGTGATATCATAATAGTAATTTTCCTACGTTAATATCGACGTTTTATTTCCTGTACACTAGAGGTCTGTTAAACAGAACATTATAAAATCCATTTTATAACACGTGCCTCCCTCGTATTATTGGTACATTTTATCACTTTTGTCATGATAAATATAGGAATAATTTAAAAGGCTTCAATATAAAGTATTAAGAATAACTCAAAAACTATTAGTCAGACCTTTATCAAATTAATACGGGACCAGACGAGAAGCACCAGCTTTCAAATAAAAAAGAATCATCGAAATCGGTTAAACGGACAAAAAGTTATGAGGTAGCACACATAAAAAAGGACTTACAGTCGAATTCTGTACCTTTTTGAAGTCGGTAGAAAATGCTAAAATCTACTAGAATACGGTAAGAAGTACGTGGATATTAAGATTTTATGATATCTAATACAATCATAGTAAACTGGATGCCATCTAGTGGATGAAATACGATCGTATTTTTTTTTATGGGATAAGGGTGACAAACGAGCACACAGTCCACCTGATGGTAAGTGTTTGCTGTGGCCCATAGAAATCTACATCTATCCTCGACGAGCACGTATAAATGGCTACAGATTCCTTGCTACAGTAGATCCCATCCGCATATATCGTGATACTTGGCGATTTTAACGCCCACCACGCCAAAATACATAGACAAAATCCACGAAAAATACCAAAAGGCGCACGCAGTTTTAAATTAGACGATCTGTACGAAAATAGTTAAATGACGGATTCGTTTGATTTCTTCACCCCACCATTCAAGACAAAAGCGGTTTCCCATTCTACGTTAAATTAGATTTATTTTATTTAATACCTATGCCTATTATTTTATGAATGCAAGCGGCTCAGGACCGTGCTTGTTGGCATTTCTTGGGAAGGCCTATGATCAGCAGTGGACTTGTGAAGGGTTTTAATGAATGAATAAATTTGCTTTAAACTTCACGCTTGCTGTTCGGATTGACGAGATCAGTATACCAGACGTGATAAGCGCTGCTGGGTATCTTTCATCATAGACAGAAGTTGCCTTAATGGCGATTGATAGTTGCGCCTACTCTCTGTCGCCTGGCTTTATAATTATATCTGATATATCCGTGTTAAAACAGAGAAGAACAAGTTAAGCGGTGGTAGCTCAAGGGATTTACGCTCGCTGTTTTCATAGTGCGTGACGAAATTATTAATTGCAATTTGAAGTGCTGATTTACCACGTGCTCGGCGCTGAAGCAAAACATCGTAAGGTATCGTAAGGTAACATGCATTCAGGGAAAATTGTGTTGATGTCGGTAGGTGTGCGCAGGAATTACACGCTTTAATTCCTCCCTCTCCTTTTCACCATCGGACAACCAGGCGATCGGCGGGTCCTTACCCTTTTGTTGTCGATATTCCACGCATTAGAACCAAACGGTTTGCTTCGTCTTTTGTAACGCGTACAGTAAATGAGTGGAATAATTTGCCTGTGTCTACCTTTCCGTCCGAATACAATCTGGGTATCTTCAAGGCAAGAGTGAATAGGCTTTTGTTACAATAAGACAGTGCTATTTACCATCTAGGGGCACACTCAAGTGGGATTGTGGTCAAGCACTGGCTTATAAGTAAAGAAAAAAAATACTTTTTAATAAGATATAAATGTCGATAAGAAGAAGAGATAAAGCAAACGATATTTAAAAAAAATATTTTAAATGTATTTGGTTTTCAATAGTACAAGTATTTATACTTACTTATGCATTTAGTGGGATCATCAACATCCGACATCCAAGTAGACGGACAGTAGCAAGTCACCTCGCTTCTGTATTCGTTCAGCGCCACACAGCGGTACGCACAGCCGCAATTCTGTTCACGAAGTATTTCGTAACGTATTTAGTCGCATTATTTTTTTTTATAGGATAGGGTGACAAACAAGCACACAGTCCACCTAATGGTAAGTGGTTGCTGCGGCCCATAGACATCTACATCTATCCTCGTGTCAAAATCAAATGAAGATGCGTTGTCACCCGTGAGGACTAAGATGGAATGCCTCTTTTCCAGTAAAAAGGGTCTCCGGTTCTCTACACTCACCATACGACACACAGCAGAGTTAAGCTGCCATTTTACGCTGGTATTCTGTGAGAGCGTGGTCTTTCCCGGGTCAAGCCGACCCTTTCGTGCTACAACTAGACTGCTTCTCTCTCTCCAGAGCCACCATAGACCAGTACTTCATGAAGGAGCCTAGTTCATCCCGCCATCTCCGCCTGGGTCTGCCCCGCTGACGTTTGCCTTTTATAGGAGCCCATTTAGTTGTCACTTTTAACCCATTGTTCATTTGGCATTTGGCAGATGTGTCCAGCCCAGTCCCATTTTAGCGTAGCAGCTTTTGTGACATGAGCAATTTTTGATTTGGAACGGATTTCAGTACCACATTTAAAATATTAGTTAACACTAAATAAGATATTCCTGTTCGGTGGATGGTTGGACAATGCGACATGACCGGATAGACACCTGGTGAAGGACCAACAATTTACGGGCTTTCTCACGACTTTGGGCCGCTACTGAGATTTCTCGACAGGAAACTCCAACAACTGAATTTACGCCCGATACGGGACAACGTAACCAGGAGTAGGGCTTACGACAACTATACTAATTTAAGAAAAAGACTATTTATTATAAGCACTGATCTATCTCTCTTTTTACTTATATATTTTGATATTGGTGGAAAAGTTTATAATAGGGTAACAAAAAAGTGCAATGGTAAATGGATTCTGTTTCCCATGGACACCTACATCTATTCTCGATTTAGAATCAAAATGATGATGCGTTTTCACATTTGAGAACTAAGATAAAATGCCTGGTTACCAAGGTAGAAAGTAAAAAGAGTTTCCAGTCAATTACCGTACGAAAGTCAGTAGCATTATGCTGCTATTTTAATCTGGTATTTAGTGATAGACAGAGAGAGATAGTTACCTTTTTCGGTCTTTTGTTAGTCAGTGCGGTGGCTCGGTCGGTTTTTTCCCGGTATATTCTTTACAAGAAAATAAATAAGAAACACTACTATTTTACTTCCTTTTTTGCGCAAATGTCCGTCTGGGTAAATATCACCTTCTTACATATTTCGGAACATGTTTCGGTCTAAAGGATATGAAGAGTCAGTATAATGTACGCTGTGAGGTATTTCATCTAAGTATTTAGAGCTAACAACTCATCTTTAGCCTTCTTTGTTTGAAGTTGGCTGCCCATGAACTGCAGCAGCCAGTTACCATTTGGTAGACTATAACATCCTTGGTCCTCAAGTCCCCAAGTATATCGGGGACATTTTTCTCTCTCTGGACACTCCTTGGCGACCGATTGTCGAATCAAAATACAAATGACTGCGATGCATTGAGACTAGATTCGCTTTTTATTACGTCGTTATTCTTCTCTAATCTTAGTTCTTATTACTATGATGTGTTTATCGATATATATGCAGGTATTATATTTACAAGTATGATTATCTGAACTCTGGAGGATATTATTATCATATAGATAATGACAACATGTGTGTGTGTATGTGTGAGTGTGAGTGCGCGCGCGCGTGTGTATGTGTGTGCATGTGTGTATGTGCACGCACGTATATGGCTACAGTGAAGCGAGTGTGTGTGTGTGTGTGTGCGTACTCACGTGTATGGCGGGCAGCACGAGCACCTCGCCGGGGCCGGCGCGCGGCGCGCTGTGCACGCGGGTGAGCGCGCGCGCGTGTGTATGTGTGTGCACGTGTGTATGTGTACGCACGTATATGGCTACAGTGAAGCGCGTGTGTGTGTGCGTACTCACGTGTATGGCGGGCAGCACGAGCACCTCGCCGGGGCCGGCGCGCGGCGCGCTGTGCACGCGGGTGAGCGCGCGCGCGTGTGTATGTGTGTGCACGTGTGTATGTGTACGCACGTATATGGCTACAGTGAAGCGCGTGTGTGTGTGCGTACTCACGTGTATGGCGGGCAGCACGAGCACCTCGCCGGGGCCGGCGCGCGGCGCGCTGTGCACGCGGGTGAGCGCGCGCGCGTGTGTATGTGTGTGCACGTGTGTATGTGTACGCACGTATATGGCTACAGTGAAGCGCGTGTGTGTGTGCGTACTCACGTGTATGGCGGGCAGCACGAGCACCTCGCCGGGGCCGGCGCGCGGCGCGCTGTGCACGCGGGTGAGCGCGCGCGCGTGTGTATGTGTGTGCACGTGTGTATGTGTACGCACGTATATGGCTACAGTGAAGCGCGTGTGTGTGTGCGTACTCACGTGTATGGCGGGCAGCACGAGCACCTCGCCGGGGCCGGCGCGCGGCGCGCTGTGCACGCGGGTGAGCGCGCGCGCGTGTGTATGTGTGTGCACGTGTGTATGTGTACGCACGTATATGGCTACAGTGAAGCGCGTGTGTGTGTGCGTACTCACGTGTATGGCGGGCAGCACGAGCACCTCGCCGGGGCCGGCGCGCGGCGCGCTGTGCACGCGGGTGAGCGCGTGCGCGTGTGTATGTGTGTGCACGTGTGTATGTGTACGCACGTATATGGCTACAGTGAAGCGCGTGTGTGTGTGCGTACTCACGTGTATGGCGGGCAGCACGAGCACCTCGCCGGGGCCGGCGCGCGGCGCGCTGTGCACGCGGGTGAGCGCGCGCGCGTGTGTATGTGTGTGCACGTGTGTATGTGTACGCACGTATATGGCTACAGTGAAGCGCGTGTGTGTGTGCGTACTCACGTGTATGGCGGGCAGCACGAGCACCTCGCCGGGGCCGGCGCGCGGCGCGCTGTGCACGCGGGTGAGCGCGTGCGCGTGTGTATGTGTGTGCACGTGTGTATGTGTACGCACGTATATGGCTACAGTGAAGCGCGTGTGTGTGTGCGTACTCACGTGTATGGCGGGCAGCACGAGCACCTCGCCGGGGCCGGCGCGCGGCGCGCTGTGCACGCGGGTGAGCGCGTGCGCGTGTGTATGTGTGTGCACGTGTGTATGTGTACGCACGTATATGGCTACAGTGAAGCGCGTGTGTGTGTGCGTACTCACGTGTATGGCGGGCAGCACGAGCACCTCGCCGGGGCCGGCGCGCGGCGCGCTGTGCACGCGGGTGAGCGCGTGCGCGTGTGTATGTGTGTGCACGTGTGTATGTGTACGCACGTATATGGCTACAGTGAAGCGCGTGTGTGTGTGCGTACTCACGTGTATGGCGGGCAGCACGAGCACCTCGCCGGGGCCGGCGCGCGGCGCGCTGTGCACGCGGGTGAGCGCGTGCGCGTGTGTATGTGTGTGCACGTGTGTATGTGTACGCACGTATATGGCTACAGTGAAGCGCGTGTGTGTGTGCGTACTCACGTGTATGGCGGGCAGCACGAGCACCTCGCCGGGGCCGACGCGCGGCGCGCTGTGCACGCGGGTGAGCGCGTGCGCGTGTGTATGTGTGTGCACGTGTGTATGTGTACGCACGTATATGGCTACAGTGAAGCGCGTGTGTGTGTGCGTACTCACGTGTATGGCGGGCAGCACGAGCACCTCGCCGGGGCCGGCGCGCGGCGCGCTGTGCACGCGGGTGAGCGCGCGCGCGTGTGTATGTGTGTGCACGTGTGTATGTGTGTGCACGTGTGTATGTGTACGCACGTATATGGCTACAGTGAAGCGCGTGTGTGTGTGCGTACTCACGTGTATGGCGGGCAGCACGAGCACCTCGCCGGGGCCGGCGCGCGGCGCGCTGTGCACGCGGGTGAGCGCGTGCGCGTGTGTATGTGTGTGCACGTGTGTATGTGTACGCACGTATATGGCTACAGTGAAGCGCGTGTGTGTGTGCGTACTCACGTGTATGGCGGGCAGCACGAGCACCTCGCCGGGGCCGGCGCGCGGCGCGCTGTGCACGCGGGTGAGCGCGCGCGCGTGTGTATGTGTGTGCACGTGTGTATGTGTGTGCACGTGTGTATGTGTACGCACGTATATGGCTACAGTGAAGCGCGTGTGTGTGTGCGTACTCACGTGTATGGCGGGCAGCACGAGCACCTCGCCGGGGCCGACGCGCGGCGCGCTGTGCACGCGGGTGAGCGCGTGCGCGTGTGTATGTGTGTGCACGTGTGTATGTGTACGCACGTATATGGCTACAGTGAAGCGCGTGTGTGTGTGCGTACTCACGTGTATGGCGGGCAGCACGAGCACCTCGCCGGGGCCGGCGCGCGGCGCGCTGTGCACGCGGGTGAGCGCGCGCGCGTGTGTATGTGTGTGCACGTGTGTATGTGTGTGCACGTGTGTATGTGTACGCACGTATATGGCTACAGTGAAGCGCGTGTGTGTGTGCGTACTCACGTGTATGGCGGGCAGCACGAGCACCTCGCCGGGGCCGGCGCGCGGCGCGCTGTGCACGCGGGTGAGCGCGTGCGCGTGTGTATGTGTGTGCACGTGTGTATGTGTACGCACGTATATGGCTACAGTGAAGCGCGTGTGTGTGTGCGTACTCACGTGTATGGCGGGCAGCACGAGCACCTCGCCGGGGCCGGCGCGCGGCGCGCTGTGCACGCGGGTGAGCGCGCGCGCGTGTGTATGTGTGTGCACGTGTGTATGTGTGTGCACGTGTGTATGTGTACGCACGTATATGGCTACAGTGAAGCGCGTGTGTGTGTGCGTACTCACGTGTATGGCGGGCAGCACGAGCACCTCGCCGGGGCCGGCGCGCGGCGCGCTGTGCACGCGGGTGAGCGCGCGCGCGTGTGTATGTGTGTGCACGTGTGTATGTGTACGCACGTATATGGCTACAGTGAAGCGCGTGTGTGTGTGCGTACTCACGTGTATGGCGGGCAGCACGAGCACCTCGCCGGGGCCGGCGCGCGGCGCGCTGTGCACGCGGGTGAGCGCGCGCGCGTGTGTATGTGTGTGCACGTGTGTATGTGTACGCACGTATATGGCTACAGTGAAGCGCGTGTGTGTGTGCGTACTCACGTGTATGGCGGGCAGCACGAGCACCTCGCCGGGGCCGGCGCGCGGCGCGCTGTGCACGCGGGTGAGCGCGCGCGCGCTGCGCGACGGCTCCACGTACGACCAGCCGCCGCCGCCGTGCTGGCCCTCGCCCTCGTTCGTGCTGCCACCTGAACCGTTCCCGACCAAATGTTATTAGCTTTTCTATACAATACACACACATTACAATACACTATATACAATACTGAATTAAGGTAAAGCCAACATTTCCGAGAGATTCTAAAATTGGCACCATATTCCGAGATATTTAGAAAAACTGCATCTACGAGCGATTTACAAACTCTTTTCTACTGCAAGGTCTCTTATTTAATTGATAATTAAACTTTGCGTAGTCATAGCAATGTGGCGGCGCTGTCGTCGCACCGTAAGCGAAACGCATCGACGCCTAAATCACGCTATCAAAGTTCTAAAGTTAAGACGCCATAAATAGAACAGCTCCGAAATAACACAGAGTATTGATCGCTCGCCGGGCTGATCGCCTAGATCTTCCGTTTTCCTTCCACGGCCACATCATCAACATCTGGAGTAATATTTATAGGTACGTTTTAAAATAATTGTTTGGTTATGCATCAGCAGCTGGTTCGAAACCATGCTTCATACATTTTGGACCTTATGCACGTGAGTACTAATATTTTTTATAAATAATTTTTTTGGTTAAATTTGTAACGACTCTGTAATTTTTGAGTTAAACTATTTCAAGGAATATATATTTAATCGAAAAATCTTAACTTTTGTATGTTTTGTTTTGACTTCACCGGAATATTATTACCTTTTTGAATAGAGAATTAAATAGGTAGGCATATCTTTTAAAATATTTTATGTCTCATGTCATAGTAATTTACATTTTACGATACATAAAGTGTAAAAATGGAAGAAAATATTTTTATTTTTATTCACAGTAAAAAATTATGGGTTAAATCCGTATTTTTTTTTGTGAATACTCTTTGTACTTTTTATGATTGTATTCGCTTGGTTCAAGAAAATAAATAAACTGAAATGAAAGCATACAGAAAAAGGTTTTATTTTTATTTAAAATTTAATACGAAATTCTGGACGATTATTTATCTCTATCTATCTATCTCAAGACCTGTTCATTTTCGGCCATACGTATGGGGATCAACGCATGGCATAATGGGCATTGAACGATACGCGCGTTGCTTATTTGTAATCTGTTCTGAAGTTTTGAACCTTCTAAATATTATTATTTACTATACTCTTTGGTGAGGTGAGGTCTACTAACTTTGACAAATAGATTGTCATACGGATATTTCGGAACTTGAAATGGAAACGTTAAAGCTCACACGGCTCGTTAAATTAAAAAAAAAATCAAAAACAATAAGCCCTTTTCATTAATTAAAACAACTAGAATAACTTTAATTTTCCTTGACAAAACGAATAATTGCTAATTTTGTCGCCGTATTTTTTTTTTTTGAAAATGGAATAAAAGAGGTTTCAAATTGTATATAAACTTTTTATGGAAACTGAAAAGATTTTAAACAATAAAGTCGTAAATAATTGAGGATTAAGGTATCCCTAGATTCTGTTGATGTGTATATCTTAGATATTTTTTTGTATATGAGAAAATATTAGACGAAGAACCAAATGCTCAAATAGTGTTAAAACTTTCCACAACTTTAAATACTGGCATTGAATCTGGCGACATTAAGCTGCTAACAAAATGTGAAAGAAACTTTGCTATGAGATGCCATTATCGTTACCAATTTAGACATTGTAAGAGTTTATGTTTTTTTGACATTTCAAGTGTTATAACTTCTTTTTTTTTTGTTCACTATTTGGCTAAAAGCCTTGTAGCCAAAGCTGCAATATAAAAAATCTGTATGAGAGTGGCGGGTACCGAGCCAGCCGCCGCCGCCGCCGCCGCGCAGGCAGCCGCCGCCGCCGCCGCCGAAGCCGCCGTGCGCCGCGGCCGCGCACGCCGCGCCGCCCGCGCCGCCCTCCAGCAGCGCCGCGCCGCGCACCACCTCGTGCCCCGGCGTGCTCGGCCCGCCGCGCGAGCTCCACCCGCCGCCCGCGCCTGCCACATCTTCTATCTATACTACACGGGAACCACGCTCCTAATACATCGCGCAAGTGGACTGAGAATGAGCGAGAACACTAGCTCATTGTTTTATAAACCATGTAAACGTTGTTTTCGACAATCTAACACTGATTGTGCTTAATATGACTATCAAAACGCTGTCATTAATCACGTTACGTTATTGACAAAGATTTTAAAGAATAACGGTCCCAAAATTGAGTCCTGGGGTACTCCTCAAAATACTTCAAATAGCCTAGATCACATCCACAGAAAAGCGACTCAAAAGGTAATATTTATATATTTCCAGTAGATTATCTGTAATTCCAAATAATATATGAATCAGAATGTTGTGATTACCTTTATCGAAGACGTTTAAAATCTGTATAAACTGTACGTCACTTTATAACACTTGGTCTACTGTCTCTTTTAGTTTTGAAGTGAAGAGAATAAGGTTAGTGTTGGTCGACCTTCTTGACATAAAACCATGTCGATTTTCGAATATATTTTTGAGTATGCCGATAAATTACAGAGTAAATTATTGTCTCAAACACTTTGATATTGTTGACAAGATAGATATTGGACGATAATTAACTATTATGTCTTTTATTTCATTCTTAAATATGGGGACTACATTTGCTAGTTTACATTCGTCAAAGAGTATTTTAAGAGATCGATTATATATAAAAGTTAATGGAGAAGTAAATGATCAATATAATCTGCATAGTTTAATAAAATTAGTGAATGTATATTATCTGGCCTAAATTGATATTCCCCGATGACATCAAAGGAATTAGATATCTGTTTTGTTTGAACATTATTTGCATTATTATCGTTAACATCTTTTTCATATATTAAAGAAAAATTAGCTGCAAAGATGTTCGCAGCGCAAAGCAATATGATATTTTATGAGTCACACACAGCAGCGGGTCACGGTTACTTGAAGCGATATACAAGTTAACTATAAGTTTATGCCAAAATTTAAGTGGATTAATAAAACTTTACACCTGTATTATTTGTTAGTTTACGAAGCAAATAAGAACATGGCAATATTGTTTAAACCAAACGGCACTGATGATGTACAAAATGCTACATTTTGCCTACTAGTATCCTTTTTTATTCCCCAATATTTCCTCACTTTCATATAAAAATTATGAATTTTAAAAGTATCTAAGCTTACTGCAATAAGCGCGAGTGTACTGCACTGATCGGAGGTGCGGCCCGGCGGTCCGTACATGTAGCCGGACTCTAGCGCGTCGTCGCGGTTATTTTACTTAAACAATAGGTAGAGTGCACTGACCAGAGGTGCGGCCCGGCGGTCCTTATATGTAGCTGGACTTTGGTGCGTCGTCGTGGTTATTTTACTTAAACAATTGTACACGTCCCTAGCTGCCCTAACAAAGGTTGACGGGACTAGGGCCCATGAGTAATCCCATTGACGAGCAGCAAAGGGATGGGGCCCAACGGCCTATGGACAATTGAACTACACAATAGAGATAAGGCTAGGTAAATAAATAGTATGTACCTGGTTCCGAAGATAAGACCGCCCCAAGGCTCGGTCAGGCCGTAGGTAGGTGTAGGTACGTGTAAGTGGTGTATAGTAGTGTGTATAATGTTTGACCTGACCCAACCGTTAGATCCAGCGTTGCTTTTCTCCAAAGGTAGTTCACTTTATCCGACCTCAAGTCTGACGTCACTTCACTATTTCAGTTTATCAACTTTATTGTACACTATTTCAATCCATCAACTTTATTGTACATTATTAATTAACTTTAAACTCAACTAAATCCCCGTTAATCGTAATCAAAAACGTAACGCACGGCACGACTAATGAACGGTGGATCAAAGGTCACTTCCGTTTCACGTAGCAACAAGATTATAACCACGAGCAAGAACGCGATCCCTTCTCGAGTCACAACGTTCAGCGTTCCTTAGCACAAATCTATAATCTAATACGAACACTGTTTCTCGCGGGTCACAAATTTTAGCGTTTTAACCGACGCAGGAAAATGTCTTCGAGTTACATCCAATGCAACAAAGCAACTCCTCGACGCAAAGTAATATTGTCAAGCACTTCAACCGGCAATCACTATACAATTTACGTAAATTACTTGCCAACGAATTTAAGTTAATCGATCAAATTATTACTGCTTCGTCATCGCGTGAACGCACTAAGGATAACCAAAACTAGAAGCGAACTCTGTCTGTGGTATTTACTAAAAACTCCAATAGTAAATTCCACACACATCAAAAAACCGGACGTTGGTCGCAATCAATATTAAATTCCAAATAATTAATCGACCCGGCGTCTATTTTTCTAGACTCAACAAACTCTTCGTCGTTGCATAAATGTGCTAACAAAAACCGACACTAATTAGAGGTTATACCGGACTACCACGCCGTTCTAGAGACCGCACTGCATTGACTCACTTCCGAACCGCCCCGCTAGCAGCCAATCCGATCTCGCGCGAATACGTCAACCGATAGGAAATCACCGCGCTGCGCGCACCCTGGCGTCGATTCTTGATGATGAGCGTTTGGCGCGAACAACAATAGATAGAGTGCACTGACCGGAGGTGCGGCCCGGCAATCCGTACATGTTGCCGGACTCTGGCGCATCGTCACGGTTATTTTACTTAAACAATAGATAGAGTGCATTGACCGGAGGTGCGGCCCCGCGGTCCGTACATGTAGCCGAAGTCTGGCACGTCGTCGCGGTTATTTTACTTAAATAATAAATAGAGTGCACTGACCGGAGGTGCGTCCCGGCGGTCCGTACATGTAGCCGGACTCCGGTGCGTCGTCCGTGAGTCCGCGCCCGTGCTGCGACTCGTCGTCGCGGAAGGCGCCCACGCTCAGGCCGCCGCCGCCGCCCGCCACCAGCAGCGGCACCGCGCCGCCCGCCTTGTCCAACTGCACACGTTACAATACAATACAATACTTACACTTCAATACCTACTCTTCAAAAAGGAGGACGAATGTTCGACTGTATGTATTTTTTTTGTATGTTCACCGATTTCCCCGTCAATGACGGCTTCTCAAATCTCAAATCTTTTGCTTACCAAAAAGCAATGGCAGACTTTCATATATAAAATTAGTTGAGAAGGAAGGCGTCAAAAAATTTTTTATTATTCTATATCACCATCACCAAGATATCTTATGTCACTTGGAAAAAGTCATGCGTCCTGTGGTTGTTTGATGTTAGCTTAATACATACTCAATATAATGTACCTACCTACATAATTGAGAGTTTTTAGATTATTGTATCTCTATTATATATTTGCATACTATAAATGTATATTTCTGACATGGCTGCAGGGTCTTTGTATCATACAGTGACATTCTCAGAAGGGCTAGAACCCAGAGCCGTAAAGCCAGTAAAAAAAACAGTGACATTTTTTTTTATAGGAGTTTATGGCCTGGTATCTAGACCTTTAGGCCAAGTCTTGAGTATTTTTATTCGGTTTATTATAAATAATTATCCTTCATAGTTCACTGCTTCACAATATGTTGATGCGTCACATTGTGCAGCCCTTGAGAGATTTTGACGGCAACTTGAGCCAGCAGACAGCTGATAGTTGGCGATGGTATCTCAAGGCGCCTATGCAAACAAACAGCTTATCTTGAGAATCCATCACCATCAGAGCACTTGTTTCACTGTTTCCACTAATAGTTCACATGCGTAGACAATTAATACACAAAATCGCACCACTTTTACATATCAAAGTCCACTTCAAACCATTATTTAAACAATAATACAGGAGCAGCAAACCGCCGCTGATCAAGTTCCCGCCAAAACTCTCACAGTGACATTTTGTTTTAGCTAGTGTTGCCATAACATTAAATGGAATTGTTACATAGTATTATGATTGAGATAATGTATTATTGTAGGCACTTCTTTGTAAGAGACTTATTTTCAACCATATCACTTTTATTTTTATTATTATTGATAGTATAGTTTACTAATAATAACTTTTTATAAAAATGTTTTTCGTTTGTATGGTGTGTTGGTAGTCTTACAAAGTGTATACGAAAATAGTATGAATATAGTAATATGCATATAATAAATAGAGTAAAATGATTTAAGTCATTTGATATTCCCAAAAATTTTTTTTGTGGCTTTAATTAAAATACATTTTTATTTGAAAAATCATAGAAAAATAATAAAACTCATTTTATATATGAGTTATTTCTACACGCAATAATTTTTGTCAAATATTTTTCTGCCCTTGTTCTTTCGCTAGTTGAGACTGAGATGAAGTTTTTTGTTACACAATATGATTTCTATAAGTAGTTCCTTTTAAATAAAAGTTTAACAGTTTTTAAAGTATTATATTAATACACTAAACAATGTCACAGTGCTTTGCTCTTTAAGTTTTTTTATTTGCAAATATTTCACTTCATTCAAATTTCGCGCAGACCTGGTGGTAAAAAAGGCGTGGATGTTGTGAATACCGATTTTGATATTTTTTGTTAAATAGTTTATACTTCAAGGATCAAATTTGGAAAATATAATTCACCCCTAAGGGTGAAAAAATAGGGAATGAAGTTATGAATGTAACTATTGAGGCGACATTGCGTTTGTATCATCATCATTATCATCATTACAGCCCTTCACAAGTCCACTGCTGAACATAGGCCTCCCCCAAAGAATGCCACAAAGCACGGTCCTGAGCCACCTGCATCCATCGACTTCCTGCATATCTTACCAGGTCGTCACTCCATCTAGTGGGGGGACGCCCTACACTTCGCCTGCCGGTACGAGGCTGCCACTCGAGAACCTTTCTTCCCCATCGGTTGTTGGTTCTTCGAGCTATATGGCCGGCCCATTGCCACTTCAGCTTACTAATCCGTTGGGCTATGTTGGTCACTCTGGTTCTACTGCGGATATCCTCATTTCTGAGTTTATCACGCAGAGAAACTCCGAGCATAGCCCTCTCCATAGCTCGCTGAGCGACCTTGAGCTTCCTCATCCGGCCAGCAGTGAAGGACCACGTCTCAGTTCCGTATGTCATCACTGGCAACACGCACTGGGTGTACAGTCTCGTTTTCAAGTTTTGAGGTATACCTGACGAGAAGATGTGCCGTAATTTCCCGAACGCTGCCCAACCGAGTTAAATCCGTCGATTGACCTCTCGGTCGAAGTTGGACTTACCTAGTCGGACTATTTGTCCCAGGTAAACATACTCGTCAACAACTTCGAGCTTAGTGTTCCCAACAACTACCGGCATAGGTGTGACATGGACATTAAACATGATCTTTGTTTTGTCCATGTTCATCTTAAGACCTATCCGTTGCGAAACACTATTGAGGTCATTGAGCATAGTGCTTAGGTCCTCCAGCGATTCTGCCATAAGGACTATATCGTCGGCAAATCGAAGGTGAGTGATGTACTCGCCATTGATGTTGATACCGTATCCTTTCCAGTCCAGAAGCTTGAAGACATCTTCCAATGCAGCGGTAAAGAGTTTCGGGGATATGACGTCACCCTGTCTTACACCTCTCTGCAATTGGATAGGTTTCGTACTCTGGTTCTGTACTCGGATAGCCATCGTAGCCCTACTGTACAAGCACTTCAACACTTCGATATACCGACAGTCAACTTGGCATCGCTGAAGGGACTGCAGCACCGCCCAAATTTCGACGGAATCAAAGGCTTTCTCATAGTCCACATACGCCAGACATAGTGGCAAATCGTACTCCTCGGACTTCTGTACAATTTGCCGAAGGGTATGTATGTGGTCTATGGTGCTAAAGCCTTTTCGGAAACCGGCTTGTTCGGGAGGCCGGAAGTCGTCAAGTCTGCGCGCGAGACGATTCGTAATGACTCTCGAAAACAGCACGTAGACGCGGCTCAGAAGGGAAATCGGTCTGTAGTTCTTCAAGAGAGCGTTGTCGCCTTTCTTGAAGAACAAGACCACCGCACTTCTGCTCCACGCCTCCGGTGTAATGCCACCATGGAGGACGGAATTAAAGAGCTTCTGAAGGACTTCAAGTACCGGTTTTCCACCCGCTTTCAGAAGCTCCGCTGTAATTCCATCCTGGCCTGGGGCCTTGCCGTTTTTAAGGTGCTGGAGAGCCATTCTAATCTCGCTCAGACTGACGTCCGGGATATCATCGGAATAATGTCGGATAAGACTCGCTCTTGGATCTCTGCTCCTGGTTACTCACACTTGCGTGTGGCTCCAACGATGACGTGTACAGCTGCCCATAGAACCTCTCAATCTCACTCAAAATCTCAGGTGCCCCGGAAACGATGCTGCCACATTCAGTCTTCAGCTTTGACAGTTGGCTCTTTCTGGCAGACAGATCTCTGGCAAAGACTTTGGAGCCTTGGTTCCGCTCTATCGCTTCTTCAATACGAGCTGTATTGAAGTTGCGTAAGTCCCGCCGCATGCATTTCGAGATCTGTCTGTTCAGTTGCCTGTATGCTGTCAAATCTGTTGAAGAATGTAGATTCATCTCCCGTCTAACAGCCATGAGATTAAGAGTGTGATCGGAGAGTTTTTGTGTTCTTCTGCGGCGGGTCTTGCAGAACTTAGCTCCGACCGCATGGACAGTTTCCACGAGCTTGTCATTCAAATCGTCCACTTCATTGCAGTCTTCTAGGCACTGAAAACGGTTTTGCAACTCGAGCTGAAAGGTTTCGGGACCCTGGATTAGAGCATGCGGGGGACGGAGCGTTGACTTCATTAGACGAGACCTCTCCAACTTAACGTTTAGGTTCAGTGTGCCTCTAACCATTCGGTGATCGCTGCCGGTTTTCACCCTCGCGATCACTGAGACATCACTGAACAGTTGTCGTCTGGTCGTCATAATGAAGTCAATCTCATTTTTTGTCGAACCGTCGGGGCTCGACCAGGTCCACTTCCTGTGGGGCCGCTTCTGGAAGAAAGAGTTCATCATAAAGAGTCCCTCTTTCTCCATGAAGTCGGCCAACTGCTGGCCCCTTGGGTTCCGTTGCCCTATTCCAAATTTCCCCACTTTCAGCTCACCATTCTCTTTTGTGCCTAGTTTTGCATTGAAGTCTCCCATTAACACCGTATATTGGGTTTTGGAGGAATGCATGGCTCTAGAGATATCCTCATACATTTCCTCCACCTCCTCATCGGGGTGTGCCGAGGTTGGTGCGTAAACCTGTATGACCTTCAGCGAATACCGTTTGGTGATTCTGAGTATAAGGTACGCAACCCTCGTCGACACACTCTCAATCTTTACAACGTTGTTAACGAGTGACTTGTGGACGATAAATCCGACACCTCCTTGGGACAGATGGTCGCCCTCCCGGTAACAGAGCAAGTTGCCGGATTCGAGGATTACCGTGTCCTCCCCCTCTCTTCGGACTTCGGATAATCCTATAATATGCCAGCGTAACTTGTCTATCTCTTCTTCCAGCTCCACAATCTTCTCGTCAGTCCTCAGGGTGCGTGCGTTGTATGTTGCCAGGTCGAGTCGTTGTAGGTGGCAACCGAACCTCCACCGGAGATTCTTAGCACCCCCTGCCCCGCCGTTACTATGGTCGCCACCGTAGCCAGGAACAGCGGGGCCGCCGGGGACTGGGGGCCGTCTCTTCGTAACTTTCATTATGGGGGGTATATTGCCATAGTTGCCACGCTTGGCGAGCGGGTTGGCAACCGCAGTTTTTTATTGTATTTTGCCGTCACCAGGAAGATGCTGCTGCCCATCTCCTGCCTGTTTCCCTTTGTCGCCTTTTACGACACCCACGGGAAGATATGGGGTAGTAGATATTCTTAACCGCCACTACACGGCATTTGCGTTTGAGGGTAAATGTAAAAACGACTTCAGTATGTGAATTCGAACAAAACGAATTTTTTAATTCTTTATGTGAAATCATATGAAACCTCGCACTCCTCTCCGCGTCGAATCGTTCTAATCTGGATGAAACCTACAAATCCTAGACGAATTGTTATGAGCATCAGATTCGCCGCGGGTGATGCGGTCGATTCGAATCGACCGATGCACTTGTATTCTGACAGTTGCGTGCGACAGAGCAACGTGCGAGTACTACCTAATTCTTAATTTTTTTTAAATAAGTGATTCTATATTAATTGAATTAGTACTTTCTATATCTTCCATTAATAAAGCACTGACAATAAAAAACTCGTCAAGATCTATCACAATTCACATGTAATTGCAGTGCGAAAGATGTAAAGAAAATGGAAATGATTAGGGATGATGGCCGTTGCGACGACGAACCGTTTACAAAGACCGTTTTGTGTTCTGCGACGATGAAACCGTTTTACGTCCTGGGTTCAAACAGTATTCGTTATAGAAACCAGTCTTCAAAGTACTTGATGCGATTTTTTATTTTACACCTATGAAAATACAGTCGAATAATCAATGATTCAACTATCTATCTCACTCGTCGCGTCATCGTCATTACCGTTCGTCTTTGGTTCCGGGTTCGTTTACAAACGTTACCTAGTTGTAAGAAACTGTAACCATTTCCCTTGACGAAAACGCACTTCTGCAACGACGACCGTTTTCTGCAACCGTTCGTAGTCGGGAGAACGGTTGCGTTTCGTCCGTCAAAAATTTCACAACGAGCCACCACTAGAAATTATATTGTCGGTGCGGTCGATTCTTTCGGTGAGAATATGTGTGCGAGGCCTCCTTTATTTCGATTCGCTCGATGCGTTCGGCTTGGATAAGTGTGCGTTCACCTTTAATCCTATAGATGTATGTATCCTATAGGTGTATGTTTGTCTATTTTTAGTATCGCTTTTTAGTTTCTTCGAGTTTCAAATTACAACGATTCTAAATATGGTTTTTTTTTTCAAAGAATATGTTCCCCGAACTATTAGTAAACCTAAGAATGACATTCAGTTACTATTATTTAATAATGAATGAAAAAAATCTATTTCTATTGCCATTTCAAGAACTCGTCGTTACTAAGTACGACCTTGTCTGGCTAGGAGTCGGTTTGGGTAGGTAACATCCTCTTATCATCAGGTGGACTGTGTGTTCGTTTATCACCCTTATTCTACAAGAACAAGAATGACAGATTAAAGATTTTAAAAATTAACTTGGTAAAATCCGCGTGATAAAATAAAATGATGTGTCTTACCTAGTTTTAAGAGAGTAATTATATTAATTAGACTGACAGATACCATTTTCATACGTGATGGAGCAGCTATATTAGAAGTATAGCTGTAGCGCGAATGGGTCGGCTCGACCGGGGAAGGACCACGCTCTTACAAAATACCAGCGTAAAATAGCGTAAAATAGCATAGTGTTTCGTATGGTGAGCGTAGAGAACCGGAGACCCTACTTATTGGAAAAGAGGCATTCCATCTTAGTATTCACGGGTGACAACGCGTCTGCATTTTGATTCGCAAAGGAGGATAGATGTAGATGTCTATGGGCCACAACAACCACTTACCATCAGGTGGACTGTGTGCTCGTTTGTCACCCTACCCTATAAAAAAAACAACAGTGTATATATGTACTACTCACTAAGAATATAAAAGTAGCTCCCCCTCCCCCTCCACCGCCGTCGTTCACTTCGGTGTTTCGCACCTCGTGCGTCTTGCTCGTGTAAATCTGCAAGGACTCATTCAAACGTCTCCGTGAACATTCTTGGCTCTCTTGTGCTGACAGTGTCTGAGGGAGATCGGAATAACGTTAATAAATATGTACGTTAGCATGTACCATTTCAAGATGATTACATTCAATGGAGTAGCTATGTTACTAAGGGCCCCGGGGCAAAAATGAGATTGGGGCCATATTTAAACTAAACTAAATACTTTAAAGTGCAAAACTAATTCATCTTCAATTTCTTATCGCTCACTGCAAGACATAAAGCAAAGCTACTTATTACTAAGCTAAGTATTATGTGTAACGCATTAGATAATATTTAGGTAATCGTTCTTCCTAATAATGTTATAAACATTGAGTTATATGTACTACGTATTAGAGAAACCATTCTAAACAAAAAATGTGCATTACTCTATGTCTTCGCGCATGCGCGGGTGATAGTAGAGTTGCGCATACGCAGTTGATTTAAGAGCGTTGCGTCTGCACGGTCAGTTTTTAATTTAAACTATACAGTAGAACGCTGATTATCCGAACGCCGATTAACCGAATCGCCAATTATCCGAATCGGTCCTAAGCGTAATATAAAAAATTATAACCAAGTACAGTAAGTAACATTACTTACTTACATTACTTATGCAATACTAAGTTAACTGATATTAAAAATAACAGTGAAAGAATTTTAAGTTTTGTGACTGCTTAGGAAAGTGGTGATGGATTTTTGTCGCGAAAAGTAATGAAAAAGGCAAAGGATGAACAGCTTGAGAATGCTGTTTTTACGTGGTTTCTGCAGCAACGATTGGACAACCGATTTTAGGATCGATTTTATGTGAAAAGCCGCGAATGTTCAGTGAAAAAATGGGTGTAGCTGGTTTTACTCTTTATAAAACTTTATAAAGTGTAAAACCATTTATAAACTTAATAAAGTTCATTCTATATGTGACAGTTCGTTTTTCTATATTACATACTAGTCTATGTCCGATTATCCGAATTTTCGATTATCCGAATCGACCCCGGTCCCAATTAATTCGGATAATTGGCGTTTTACTGTAATTTGAAATCTTGTATTATTAGCGACGCTCCACACTGCATGAATATTAAAACCACAGACTAACTAGTAGATTGAAAACACACTAAATGACACACCGTAGGGATTGCAGTACAGTTCAGTTGAACACATAGTGTATGTTCGGAATGCGCAATCTAGTACGTGGTACATATATATCGATGGTTATAAATGTGAAAGTTTATTTGTTACGTTTTCACGATAGTTAATGGATGGATTTAGGATGAAATTTTGCACACCGATAGAGCTCGACCTAAGACATAGGATATCTTTATCCCGATAAAATGATCGCGTGGGATTTAGATGCTAGTAAAAAATAAAAGGCCCTTTGAGCCTAGCCCTACGGTAGCTACGCCACTGATTTCATTGAACCCAAAACACAAAAGATTTAGATGAATAAAAATTTCATCATCATCATCCCGCAAAAGTTCCGTATAAAGTAACCCGTACCTTCTTGCAGGCGTTCAGTCCCTGTTGTCCCACGAGCATGTAGAGGCGCTCGCCGCGGTGCAGCTCGAACAGGCCGCGCACCTGCGCGCCGTGCGACACGCCCGCCCACGCGGACCCCAGCCCGCCGGACGCGCCCGTCCCTATTATACTGCGTAACAAAGTTAACAACAGCTACACTGACGGGTTTAAGGTAAAATAAGCCAGGATTGAAATAGTAATTATAGATTTAATTAATGAAACAACACTATACAATAGCAAAAACAGAGCTATAACACGATCAGTGTGAAACTATATAAAGTGGCGCCGCATGTGGCGCATTTATAAGTGGTAGAGCCATGCTGCAGCTATATCAATAGTATATAGTTGTAGCACGAATGGGTCGGCTCGACCGGGGAGGGACCACGCTCTTACAGAATACCAGCGTAAAATAGCAGCTTAATGCTGCTGTGTTTCATATTGTGAGTGTAGAGAACCGGGGACACTTTTACTGGAAAAGAGGCATTCTATCTTAGTCCTCACGGCTGACAACGCATCTGCATTTTATTTCGCAAACAAAGACTGATGTAGATATGTATGGGCCACAGCAACCACTTACCATCAGGTGGACTGTGTGCTCGTTTGTCAACCTTATTCTAAAAAAAATTAAGTACTGAAGAGACAATTTAAGACAGTTTAGTTTACACATTCGTTCTAACACCTGCCCTGTATATTTCTTATCATGCTTGTCTCTTTTCTTGTAAAGGTAATTGCTGTTCATGAGGTCCCGAAACTTCATAGTCGGGCCAGTAATTGGGTTTTATTATCCAGAAAATCTCAGTAACAGCCCAAGTTAGGAAGTTGACGGTGTTTCTACCCCTTGTCCAGGGAAAAACATGTAAAGTCGTTGTCCTGCGCTCTCCCGGGTCGTATCGGATTACCGTCGCATCGGACTATGTGAAGTGAGGGAATAGAGAGCCCAAATGTTGTCGCGAATACACTTGGGCACTATAAAACTTTTCTGCGCAGATGGTTAGTCTCCGTTGAGACTGGTCGTCGTGACTGAAATTCGGTCTGGAGAATATTACCTCTTCTCATTCCCTTGGCACATGCCTCTTCTTATTTTTGAGAGGGTTGTGAATAGAATAGTGTAGATATTTTTATTTGCAACTAGCTGTTCCCCGCGAATTCGCCCCCGCGTAATTTATTACTATTGGATTTCATGGGTTTTAATTTTTTTCGCGTAACCCTAATTCTTTTTCTAAAATAAAAGTATATCTATAATCTTATAACATCAGCTATCTGACAGTAAAAGTCCAGTCAAAATCGGTCCAGCCGTTTCGGAGATTAGCCGGAACAAACAAACAGACAGACAAAATTAAAAAAAAGTGTTTTTGTTATAAGTACCGTATATACTTTCATATGCATATATAATGATATTTGTTCAACAGTTAGGTGATATGATATCGTAAATCAAAACACAACTGAGTTCCTCTGTAATAAAAGTTTTATGTTAGGTAACATGTTTGTTTAGTACTAATTACAAAATATAATATTCTATTTACTATAAACCTTACCTGTAATAAAAGAAACATTTAATGTTATTACAATATCAATTCCTAACGTCAATAGTTTTCATAATGGAATTCATTCGACCACAGACTAACTAAAAAAAGGCTGACTATATTCGCTGGCGCTAGCAGCGCGGCCTTTATTTGAACTAAAGAAAATATATTTTCTTTACATCACCCTCCCCTGGGAAAGATAACACATACAAAATATTACGAAAGTTTATCATTAAATATAACCTATTGTGACTTTTCTAACTTCTTAGTGATCTTTGTCAAGCATCGGAGCTGGAACCAATTTTGAGATATGGAAAAAGTTAGACTCTGCTTTTTTATAACCAGAGTTGATCTTGTAAATCGTGTTAGACAATTTTTACATTATTCTGTATGGTCCGATTCTCAGTTCATCAAGCTTTTTCCTATTTAGCATGTTGCCATTTTCCACAAAAACCATATCACCCACTTTGAAGTCGAAGTGTATACGATTTTTATCATAAAGTGTCTTGTTGTAATTGTGTGACTGAAGTGTATTTTCTAGAGATTTTTTCCTGTCTTGAATCCAATTGGTCTCTGTCTTCTTTGGTTTTAGCTCATTAGGCAAAATCGTAACATCGGTGCCATTTAATAGATACGTGGGAGCATATCTAGTGACAGTATGCTCCGTTTCATTATATTTTTTTTACACAATTTTGTGCTATGGTCGTCCATGCTACTTTAGTATCTTTTTCGTTAATCTTGCATCTAATTTTGTTAACCAATGTTTGATTTAGTCTCTCATTTAAACCACTCGAAAAGGGTGAATTCACTGCAGTAAAAATTAGTTGAATATGTTGGTCTTCTAAAAATTTTTTAAATTCCTTTGAATTAATACCTGGATATTGATCAGAGAGAATCATGCCAATATTGTCAGTTTCTGCTGTGTTCTTCACTAGTTTAATAAAATCATTTGCATTTTGAGTTTTTGATGTCAAAATAAATGCATACCTCGTGAAATGATCTAATAGTAGGTGCAAGTACTTTTTTGTGGACCTGGAACCTCCAAAACCTCCAATTGTATCAATAGAACATATCTCAAAGGGTTCCGTAGCCGGGCCCAAATGAGACATCATTCCATATTTGTTTTGTCCCCTTGATTTGTTTTTTATACATACCGTACAATCTTAACAGGTTTTTTTAATGTTCTTTGTTAAGTTTTCAGCTGTATACAGTGAACTTATTGTTTTTTGCATTTGATTTATTCCTATGTGACCTAGGTCCATATGTATTCTTTTAATGAATTCCCTGCTAAATTTTTCCGAGAGAATTATTTTATCTTTTTTCTTAACTTTTTTATAATAAATATTGTGATCTGATTTTAGCTTTTCTTTCCTGGACTGTATATATTTATTTATTTCTTGATCTTCTAAAATATCTTTTAGTTTTATTAAGTTTACCAATTTTAATTGTTTCTCCAGATTTTCAGTGTGATCTAAGACTGGGTTCCTGCTCAGGCAATCAGCTTCCAAGTTGTATCTTCCTGGGGAATATTTTATTTCAAAATGTGATAGGTAGTATGTTAAATCTCCTAGTTCTTCATCAGTTCTTGATTTTATGTTCATATTCTCCAACGGTTTGTGATCTGAGAAAACAGTGAATTTCCTACCTATCAACAGATGTTGCCAATACTTTACACATTCTTTTATTGCTAGGCATTCCAGATATATAGCCTTCTTCCTTTTTTGTACTTCATTCAATTTTTTTGAGAAGTATGCTACTGGTTTTTCTTCCTTATTTTCTTGCAGCTGTTTTAGGACGGCACCCACTCCTAGTATACTAGCATCTGTGTATATGTCTATAGGCAAGTTTGGATCATAAATCGTTAATATCGGTTGAGAACATAATATTTGTTTCATTTCATCAAATGATTCTTGACATGCTTTGGTCCAATTAAAGGCTTGTCCTTTTCTCAAAAGGTTATGCAATGGATCCAATTTTATTGCTATTTTTGGTACATATGATAAAAATTTATCTTTCCTAAGAATTGTCTCACATTTTTTTGTGTTTTTGGTGTTGGAAAATTCTTAATTGATATCAAGTTGTCTTTCAGAGGTCTAACTGAATTATTTTGTATTATGTGACCCAGATATTTTACTGAGTCAGCTGCAAATGTGCATTTGGAGAATTTAAGTATAAATCCTTCACTTTTAATTGCTTGGAACAGCTTTGTTAGATGCTTGACATGATCAAAGAAAGATTTGGAGAATATTAAAATGTCATCTATGTAAGTTATTGTGAACTCTGCAAGTTTGTGTTTTCTTATTATGTTACACATTATTCTGAAATATTGCTGGCGAAGTTTTTAGGCCAAATGGCAAACACGTCCACTGGAAGTGACCTTCTTGTGTCACAAACGCAGTTTTGTGTCTATCCGTAATACGTAGAGGTATTGACCAAAACGCTGAGTTTATGTCCAGTGTGGAGAAATATTTGCAATCTCTTGTTTTTATCATTAGGTCCTCAATAAGAGGAAACGGTTGTGATTGCGGCACAACAATTTTATTTAGGTCTCGAAAATCTATACACAATCTTGATCTTGTGTTTTCCTCTTTTTTGTAAGCTAATGTTACTGGTGCCGCAAATGGACTATATGATTCTTCGATCAATTTTCTCTTTAATAATTGTGCAATTTGTTGTTCGATTTCTTTTTTATCTTCGATTATGCAACGATACGGTCTTTTACTGCAATATTTTTCTACTAATAAATCAATGTGTGCTTCATAATCCTTTACTGTGCCAATGTCATATTTATCTTTTGAAAAAAAAACAGATTTATTCTTTGTTATTAAATCATCAATTATTGCCTGTTTGTCAATGTCTATATGGTTTATCCAAATAATGAAATTTTCTTTATTGAAGTATTCGTTAAAGTTAATAAGGTTTTTTTTTGTCATTTTGAGAATTTTCAAATTTTATTTCCTTTCGAATTATTTCATTTTGTGACTCTTTATTTTTCATTTCTTTAGAAATATTGTCAATCCCTAACCTTTTTGTTATTGTTTCCTTAAAAACGTTGTTTGTCTCTGAATTTTTAATATATTTTTTTTGTATTGGAACTTTTTGACTGATTTCTAAGTTTTCATTTTGAATTAAATAGAATTTTTTAATACAGTCTAGCCCAATCAAAAAATCATGATCAAAATTTTCTTGATCTATTACAAAGACATCCATTTTTCTTTCTACATTAAAAATATTTACGTCAAGTGTTATTATACCACTTGCCTTTTTAACGCCATTAATTGTTTTTAAATTAGTATTGTTGGAATAACCTAATGTTTTATATTTAAATTTCAGTAATCTTGAATTTATCAAGGACACGTTTGAGCCTGAATCATAGATTCCAAATACTTCAAGGTTTTTATTCAATACTAACCTTACTTTAATTAATGGCGGCACTATTAGTTTTTTGGTACTTCACACTGCAGTTCACATTCCAATTCTGAATTATTAATAAGTTTGATTTGTTTCTTTTCATTTTCTTTATTGTCTTTTGTTTTAAACCAGCATAAATCTTCTGAGTGATAGCGTACTCCTTTCTTTAGCTTCTCGCAAATGCTACATTTTTGCATCTTTTCTTTCGATGGTTTAGTATCATCTTTCTTTTTCATAAACTTTTTTTGATGGCCAAATGTTCTAATTTACCCAATTCATTGAATAAGTCTTTTGTTTCTAATATTTCTTCTTTGTTGTTCTTATCCGTTATAAAGTCTGGCAATCCAGCAGCGATTAGATCAATCAAGGTCCCTTGATCAATTGTCTTTCTTACTTCAAGTAAAAGTTTTTCCTTTTTAATGGAATATTCCAATAAAGATCTAGATTGATACTTGAAAACTAAGGCATATTTACTACTAGTCCAACCCTTATTTGCATAGGTTTCTACAAAGTTTGATTTCCATTTCGACCATTCCGATTGCAAACTTAGCTTAATCATCATGGAAGTATACCAATCAGTGCATGATTTTTCTAGAAATAATCTGAGGATTTCAATTTTCTCTTCATCTTGTACTATATCAAATCTTGTACATTCCTTTTCGAAAACTTCCATCCACTGACATGCACTAACATTCTTGCCATCAAATTTATCTAGTACAAATCTGTCTGCTAATTTTTTTACGCTTTGTTTTTCCTTTCTTTGTTGACTTTCAACTAATTTTTCCAAAATTTTCTGAATGTGATCTTCGGAATTGTTTTTGTTAATAGTAGCCAATTGTTCTTCAGTAACTTCCTCTAGGTATTGGTCCTCAAATATCATGTTTTCATCTTCATCAAAGTATGTTTTTTGCACATCTGGTGTTAGTTTTATCCAAACACTTCTAGTTTGATGTCTTTTCTTTATTGTATTTCGCACTATATTGTAAGCCTTAGAGGCGTAAACATATTTGTGAAGTGACGCTGCTTCATACTCCTCAGGGATCAGGAAAACCTTATCATTTTGTGTAATGATTGAGGTTATGGCGATATAGGTTGTTTTTCCATCTTTTGTAGCTTTTGATCTGAATACGAATTTTAGCTTCTCCATTTTCTTGTTAATTACAAGAAATGTCGTTTTATAATGATATTTGTTCAACAGTTAGGTGATATGATATCGTAAATCAAAATACAACTGAGTTCCTCTGTAATAAAAGTTTTATGTTAGTTAACATGTTTGTTTAGTACTAATTACAAAATATTATATTCTATTTACTATAAACCTTACCTGTAATAAAAGAAACGACATTTAATGTTATTAATTACAATATCAATTCCTAACGTCAATAGTTTTCATAATGGAATTCATTCGACCACAGACTAACTAAAAAAAGGCTGACTATATTCGCTGGCGCTAGCAGCGCGGCCTTTATTTGAACTAAAGAAAATATATTTTCTTTACACATATAGTAAAAAGCTATTTATTTCGACATTACAAACAGACACTTCAAATTTTATTTATTTGTATGTATAGACTAGCTACCTGCCTCGCCTTTACTTAGATAGAATTTATTAACGTGGTGTTATTTAGATATAAGATGATCAAAGATCGTATTCTGTGAAGTCGTGGTACCAACCCGGCTCGAGCCGGCCCATACGTACAACAGCAAAAGCTGCCGTGTGGCTCTACCACCGTTAAAGTTTTATATTCCCGACTCCGATAAATTTTTGTTACGATGCATGTATATGAATGCATGTATAGTATGTGTAAAGCTGAGTTATATTTAAAAGAAAATACTTTATTTTTACATTTATTAAAAAAATTTAATATGGCTCATAGTCTGAAAATTAATAATAAATCACTTGGGTATTTAAATAAATAGAAAATATAATATATTGTAAATATTATATAGTAGTGGACCGGCGAACATTGTTCTGCTCTTTCTGGTTGATGATGCGATGAGTTTAACGGTGTTAATAGAACATTTATTAATATCTCGTCTACAGCGTCACTTATTGATAACGATTTTCTTTTTTTTTTCGCTTTAAAACACTATACCATTATATTATAAATGTAAGACATTTTGTACCTCAAATATATAATTTGTTAATAAGTCAAATAGACTACCCTAGACGGAGATTTCTCGACCAAATTGGTGATATATGAAGATAGGCCATTTAAGAGTATCCTTAACAGACGAGCATGTGTGCGTAGGTATCCATCCTATTGCCGTTGTGTTAACTCTATCGATAGGGTAACCCTGCTGAAAAAAATGGCTAACAATATCGCCGAAACTCTGTTTGGCAATGTTACAGTCAAAATACTGACTTGTTTTACGAAAATCATATTATCGATTCTGCTGTCGGTGTTCAGCAAGGTGACCCACTAGGTCCAGCCCATAAATCAAATTCAATTTGGAATAATATCAAATAAAAATAGAAGCATTATTTATTCATGTTTTCAAAAACTGCAATGGCGGTATATCATTATTTATATATTTGAACTTCGGTTTAAAATTTGGCTACTCTTTGAAAAATAACCCTGTATATAGCGCGTTAACTTCGGAACTTTGATAGCGCGATTTAAGCTTCGGTGCGTTTCGCTTACGGCGCGACGACAGCGAGCTATTTTCTTGAAATACTCACGTATAAAGCCCTTCTGAAGGTACTTCCCAAACTTGTATGCCCTGGAAGGGGGGCTCCGATATGACGGTCACGGAGGTAGGCGTGTTGTTGTAAGCGATGTCGCACATGGTCTGATTGGGACCATAACGGCCGGTCGCACCGCACGTTGTGAAGCGATAGTCTGAAATATAGCTATTTTATAAGATCCAATTTTAAGTGTATATTCCTCTAATGTACGTCGATTACCGAGTAGTGGTGGTATAAGAATATCTACCACCCCATATCCCCCGTGGGTGCCGTAAGAGGTGACAAAGATATCAGGAGATAGGCAGCAGAGTTTTCCTAACGACTATAATAGACTGCCTCGTTAGTGGGACTGCTGATCATGAGGTCCGGGTTTGAATCACGGGTCGGGCCAAAAAATCGGTTATTGAGTTTTTCCATCAAGAAACTCTCAGTAGCTGCCCGGAATCAGGAAGCTGGCGGTGTGTCACCCCCGCGCCTCGGAAAGCACGTTAAGCCGTTGGTCCTGCGCCTGATCTCTCTCCGGTCGTATCGACTTGCAGTTTCATTGGACTATGAGAGTAAGGGAACAGAGAGTGCACCTGTGCTTGCGCATACACTCGGGCACTATAATCCTGTCCTGCGCCGATGGCTAGTCTCCGTCGAGGCTGGCTGCCATAACCGAAATTCGGTCGGGTACGGTAACGGTAAGCCTATTATAGTCTTGCCGTCCGATAGCTTTGCTGTCCTATAAAACCAAAAATAAGAGGAGGACAGAGACAAAAAACGAAAAAGCAAACATAAAAAAAAAACAAAACAGATAATGGCCATATTTACTATAATGTCAACTGTCAAAATGGCTTTGATAAATTGGCGCCATTTTTTATTATTTGATTGACTGATGAAGAGATATCGTAATACAGAGCCATCTATGCAAACAAAGCTGTAGTTTCAAGTTAAAAAAAGTGACCATAATAACCGAAAGACTTTACACTTAATATAATGATGAATAGACTTACCGGGTTTGTTTAAGTCTTCATAATTATCGGTAAATATACTTACAGGGTACATCCAGAAAGTCAGGGTGAGGGTCGGTCTTCTCTTCGAATGATTGATCATAATAGTTATAATCTCCGAGTTCTTTGGGGTCAATATTCAGGCCGAAACACTCGGGGGCCATCGAGAAGTCGTCGATAGCGGAGTCCGAGTATATCCTCATACCCATACGAGTCTTGAATTGGAGGAAATATCTGAAAAAAAGAAAATGGTTCAGTTAACATTGCCGAGTCTTCGACCGGATTATATAAAGTTGTTAGGAACAAAGTAAAGTCAATTTATATACGTTCTGTGGCCTTTGGGACGGATATAGACTGGGCTCAAGATGGTCTCTTCTATGTATATAATGATAAAAATAAATAACATCCTCTGAACTGAATTTCGGTCACGACGGCCAAGCTCAATGGAGACGAGTGAATACGCAAGCACAGGTGCACTCTCTATTCCCTCACTGTAGTAGTGCGATCCGAATCCAACTCTACCGGAAAAGATCAGGCGCAGGACCAACGGCTTTACGTGATTTCCGAGGCACGAAGGTGAAACACAACTTCCTGAGAAAATGTGATTAATTAACCTGACCAAAGACCAGACCTGACAGGACCACATAATGAGCAGTCTCCCTTACGATCACTAGACCAACGAGTCCAGTCGCCGTTTGCCTAATAATTACAGCCTCCATCAACATCACAATCCATTCAACATAGACTTACCCATAGATTGTCTCGGATGAGAGATAGTTGTTACGTATATACTTACATGTGTTGATAACCCAATCGCCAAGGATAATATGGAGATATTTGATGATGCAGACGCCAATGAAACAATCGATGGCCCAGGCCTATCTTCAGCAGTGGACCTTTAATAGACTGTAATGAACGAATAAGTGGATTGATGGATGATTTTAAGTGATGATTTACAACGTGCTTACTAACATATCTAAGAAATTATAGACATTTCGAAGTCATGTGAAGCCTCTCGGAAATGAGAAGAGGCCCGAGCCCAACACTGGGGCGTATGTAGGGTGTAGGCTATGTGCTTACCTAAATATCCTACCACGGTTATTTAATTGACATGTCATTTTTACCAAAATGTTATAAAAGGGCAATACAATAATTATCGAGAATATCCATCTATATAGTACATTCTTAATAATTATTGTGTACATATATATCTTTATATTATAATTATGGTTAAATATATCCTATCTGCTACTTACCTCCTAGTAACGTTAGGAAGAAATATCGCCGCTCTGTACCAGTTCTCGCCCTTGTCTTTAGTTGAGAACCAAAGCGACGTGGTGTGGTTTCCCCTGTTGGTGATCTCTACCACGTCCACACTTAGCGACCCGTAGTTCCGGCCGTTCTGTTGGTAGTAGAATCTTATCTGTCGGGACAAACAACGCAATATTTAATAATTATTCATCAATTTAATGGTGTGGTGGCGGTGTAAGAATATCTACTACCCCATAGAGTCCCGTGGACGTCGTAAGAGGCGATAGGGGTAACTGAAACTGGATCTTTCTGAAAACAACCCAAAATTGTAAAAAATTTCGATTGCCAACCCGTGTGCCAAACGCAACAATTGTGGTAAAATCTTCCTATGAGGCAATCTATGGGGGAGGCCTATGTTCAGCAGTGGACTTCTATAGGCTGTAATGGATGGATGTATAGAAGATAATATACCAGGAGTACATAAGCCACTGAGAGGTGAACTATGGCAAATATCCCCCTATGAGGCAATCTATGGGGAGGCCTATGTTCAGCAGTAAACTTTTATACGCTGTAATAAATGGGATGGATGAATAATTCGATATTTGATTAATTACATAAATTATACGCAATGTAATTACAAAATGTAACTATGGCTTAACTTCTATTAAGTAGGAAATTTTAATCCGAAGTTAGTCATGTATAATTAAAAATTAAAAATTGTGTACAACAGACTTGAATATAAATTATTAAGAATAACTCAAAAACTATTGGTCAGACCTTGATCAAATGTATGTGGGACCACATGTGAAGCACCAGCTTTTAAATAAAAAAAGAATCATCGAAATCAGTTCATGCAATAAAAAGTTATGAGGTAACACACATAAAAAACCTACAGTCGAATTGAGTACCGTCTCCTTTTTGAAGTCGGTAGAAAAACAGTCTACGTCCTATTGAATTTTTTGTCAAAGACTATCAAAGAATGCTTTGTAAAGGCCTTAGAATAATAACACCTAGAACGATAGTTCCCTACAAAGCGGACGTTCAAAAGTGGGGCAAGAACAAAATCTATGTGTGCGTTATCAACTTGTGTTTACGCTAAACGAAACACACACAAGTGAAGAAATAATGTGGCCAATACATTAAATTTTCCCGAAAAGTAGGGAAGTTGAAACTATATTGGACTAATAGTTACAACGTAACGTATGACTCACACAAATATGAAAATAAGTTTGTTTGAATTCTATTATCGAAGTGTAGCCGCCTAAATTCAAAATATTTTTAAATAGGATATTTGCCTATCTAGCCAAGTGAGATACTTTTATGAACCATATAAATGTGATTGCATCATATTTTTCTTTGTAATTGTATAGAGACGTTATAATTATATGACTAATGCAAGTTCGATATACACCCGCCCTATGCCTGACACACGACTGTTCGACGAACGCTTGCTGGTTCTTCCCAGGTCAGAGGTTTTTTCCGAACCAGTGGTAATCAAACAAAAGAGTGACTTTCAAGAAGTATTATTTATAATCTATATTGAATAAAAAAGTTTCTGTTTCAACGATTGACCGTATTCAGTATCTATTATTCAGTTTGTTTTTAACAATTTATTTTAATAATCGTCGAGTAATGGTGTACCGCACCTCACTGCATGCATAATGTAAGCTACAATATGAAAAACAAAGAAAATTTTAATTTTGGTAGGCTTTACATAGTCCTCACGGATGACAACGCATCTCTTTATTGAGGATAGTTGTAGATGTATATGGGTCACAGCATCTACTTACCATCAGGTGGACCGTGTGTTCGTATGTGACCGTATCCTATAAAAAAATGTAAAGAACAAATTTTTGTATTTTAGTGGGCTTCCAACTACTTTCATTTCGATTGTGTCTGATGTTTTCTGTCTCACAAGCCGCAATGATCGGATCCGATAAACCGAAAACCAAACATGCATTTATTATCAGACCATATAAAAGTTTTTAAAAATTTTTCATCATCCATATTTTTTAATTTTTTTTAAAAAACGTTACCCCCACACAAGGATTTTCTCCTGTATCGTGGAGGCAGCTTACAAACATAAATTGCACGAGGACAAACATCTCGTGGAGGCAGCTTACAAACATAAATTGCACGAGGACAAACATCCAGACCCGAAACAATGATTTGTAAGGCATACAAATACTTGTTCGATGCGGGATTCGAACCCGCGGCCCCCAGCGCAACAACTCATTGCTAAGCCACTGCGCCACGGAACCGTCGATAAATAAAAACAATGCGTTGCATTTTTTTCAATGTTGGCCCTCGTAGTGACAAGTTGTCAAGTTGCATTAGCCATTCTATTTAATGAGGGCTAATAATCTTCCACTCACCAGATGTCGCTAGTTGTGACTGAGGTAAAGTTTTTTGTAACATAGTATCAGTTAATTGAGAAATTAGTTTTAAATAATAGTTTATCATTATTTAGAATATTATATTATTACACAACACAAATGCGTCAGAGGTTTGATTTTTTAATTTTTTGCACTTTATAACTTTAAAAAAACGGCTTTTAGTTATATTTTATAGTTTGGTTTATTAATTTCTAATGTAATTAATATAAAATATAACTAATAATACAGAAAGAAACCTTAAATATTACATTTTCTTAAGAAATTATTATCCCCGCTATGAAATCTGTCAAATATTTTACCTCACTGTAAAGTGGCGCCGCCCTGGTAGCAGAAAAAGTCGTGGATGCCCTCATTCCTATTGTCGTGTTTTAGTTTTAATTAAAAAAGGTGGGAGAATTTTTCTTTCACTTTGGCAACATTTCCATATAATGCTATAATGTCAGTTTTTAAAAATTCATATTTATTTTTGATGAATGTTTTACGTAAAAATATAAGTTTAAAAGCATTAGTTACTCGTGAAAAGTAATGTTACTATGTTTCTTGTGTTTCTCTGATGTACTGACATCCGATCACTGCATAAAACGTCATTTTTAATTAAAATTTCCGGAGCTGTTGTCAACACGACACGACTTTGAGCACTAACGGGCCGAGTATTGAACTAAGCCATACTGGCTTAGTTTGAGTTGCCTCACATTACGGACGCGGACTCGGCTTCTAGGTGTTATTATTCTAAGGTAAAGGCCAAGTTTGAATAAAAATATTTTGACATGTGTGATGAGGCGTAAAAGAATCCATTAGCATCACCTCATTACGTCCAGTTGTTATCGTAAGAGGTGACAATGGGGGATGTTAGAAAGTATAGCTTGCAATAGATGACGCAATAACTATCTGGTTTACGTTAGACGTAGAATACCCAAACACGTGACGGGAAGCAATCGAAGGTGTAAGACGTCCGGTATTACTATTGCGAATCCGAATCATCTTTACAACGGGAAAAAATATTTATTTTCATGTTATATTTATTAAATATTGATAATTAATCCAAACAAATGGCGGAAAGAACTCTCAAAATACTAAGCGCGCTACATAGGAATATAACTGTCAAACTGACATTTTGCTTCGCAGTGCGTAATAACTTCGAATGCGTTGTTTATGATGTGCAAAATTCTAACTGATAGAAAATACGTTATTTTATTTAAATTAACATTTTTAACTAATTTTATGTTGTACGAGTAATAACAATTTATTGTTTTATTTTATAATTATATTAATATTATAAAGACACCGTGGTAGCTCAAGGGCTAAGCGCTCGCTCTAAATTTTACAGTATGCGAGCAACCCGGGTTAGATCCCTGCCGGCATCAATGAAATTGTTCACTGCAATTTTAAATTCTGATTTACCACGTGCTCGGCAGTGAAGGAAAACATCGTGAGGAAACCTGCATGTCTAAATATTTCGCAAACATGTGAAGTTCGCCAATATGTATTTGGGGAGCGCGGCGGACATTTCCTTGCCCTAAAACCCTCTCAGAAATGAGCTATAACTTATACAAAAACCAACACATGGACACCTGCAACCAAATTTAAACAAAGAACTGTGTTGTCACCTTTGCGGACTACTAGCGCTCTATATCCTTCAGATCTGAACAACAGTGCACGAATTGTACTTTGACTGCAGATACAAGTAAAAGGGTGGTAATACTCAGGCAGACTCCCAGACAGAAAAGGAATCTATAAAACTATACTAGAATTATTTTCTCCGTGTAGTCTGGGTCATAAATCATCGGATTATTTCTCTCTCTCTCCCACTCACGAGCCTTAGGGGCGAGCATAGTGATGCGCATTATTGTTGTCGATAAGCGTTATCGATAGTGTATTTAGTTTAATAATTATTTGGGTAGGTGATAAAAATGAAAAGAAAAATAGATAAAACAACGTATTAATTAAAGTAAGAATAATAATGATTTAAAGTAAATTATTAGTTAGGTATCTATGTATTAAAAAAACTATAAGTACAAATGTTTGGAATATAACAAGTTATATTAAAAATAAATATAAATATAAAGATAATAACTTATATCTAAAATTAAATCTTTGATGATTCATTTGTTGTTATCGATAATGGCGTTGCGCCCGCGCAACATGCTCACCGCCCTAGACGGGCTGAGGCCGAGCTATGATTTATGACCCCAACTGCACGTACAAAATAATTTTACTATAGTCTATTTTTTAGGCAATACGCCACAGAGTATATTACAATTGTCTCATATTTGCGATAGCACGGTGTATGACCCAATGTCAGCCAGTTTCAGTTTATATTATGGTTGTAGCACGAGTGAGTCGGCTCTACAGGCGAAGGACCACGTGCTCACAGTATAACCAGCGTATAATAGCAGCTTAATGCTTTCATATGGTAAGTGTAGAGAATCGGAGATCCTTTTCACTGAATACGAGGCATTCCATCTTAGTCCGTAGGGGTGACAACGCATCCGCATTATAATTCTTTATCGAGGAAACTATAGATGTCTGTGGATGACTATATCCACTTACCTATCAGGTTAAGTGTGTGCTCGTTTGTCAGCCTAATTCAAAAAAAGAATCTGGATTGAGGACTGCATAATAGTTTTATTATGGGGTAATGAGAGAGACTACAGTTAGGGAACCTACAGTTAGGGATCTTGTGTACCGGGAAAATACAACTAGGTGACTTACCATGCAACAGTTGTAGTACTTCGAATGTATATCACCATGCACCTTCGGGGGTGGGTTGAAAATGACAGTCCGCATAACTGCGGTCGACGCGAAATCCGCCTTCTCCTTGTTGGGACCGGTCACATTCATGTTCACGAAGAAGTAGTACCCGATGCACTGGGTGAGGGAATAGTTCATGTGAGCAGGAAACAGGGGAGGAGGGACCGGGATGGTGGTGTACTGTTCGGGCGGACCGCAGGTGTGGTCGTAATTTGGACCAGTTTTGTCGGTCGGCGTTGGCCCACTGTGGCGGGACCATTTTAAGATCGGTCTGAAACAAAATATTGTAGATTTAATAAGATATTTTTCACACAACTTTAATATATGCTATTGAATTGTCGCATATATAGGCTCGGATACACTGTTAGAGCGGCAATTACACCACCCGATTAAAAACAATTTGTTTTGGAACAAATGTAGTTATAAACTTCATTTTGTTTTTTTACCACGTTTTTTTTTCATATTCTTACATTGTCATCCGATTCTGAGCTATTTTAAAAATTTACAAAATCTGTACTAATTGGGAAGTTAGTTCAAAATCGATTACTAAATTCGATCTGTGTGCCCTGTGCGAATTTTTTTACGTGTTCGATCCCGAGACAGTTAACTACGATTTGTATGGAATAAAATCAGCGCCAACTAGTGGCAATAATCGGAATCACAATTCATTATTACCTATTTCTTTATATTTCATAATTTGATCAAGGTTTCGACAGTATGTGTTAGTGTTATGAGATTATGAATTAGCCATTTTATTATTAATTATTGAAAGTATTACCTAAATTGAAAGCAAAAAGATGAATATGTTTTCGTTCTAATATGATTTTATGGTGACATTTATGGAGCAGTAAATGGAATTTAGTTACTTAGTGTTAAGTGAACTTATGATGCGTGTGTTTTGAACTTATGAGGTTTCACAGACTAGAATTTATTAGATTTTCGGCATGGAGCCCTCAGCAAAGCATCCTCTAATCCAAGCGATAGGATCGCCCGATTAGGAGGAATTGGCTTAATTATTAAATAGTGATGATAGGAACTTGGATTTATATGAATGATATTTATACAAAACCTTGAATACTTTCTTGGATAAGGCGATATCTATCCTTAAATTACCTGTCATCGGGGTGCAACAACGAACTAAAATATGCACAAGCTATTGCTTCAACACTGGCGTTATAATAGCAGTAATCTATTATTATTAGTTTTCTTTATTTCTTTGTGGCTGCAACATCCTCTTAACGAAAAAAAAACGTCCTGCCTAAATTATATATCGTTCTCACAAAACGAAATAAAATTAACTCTTCAACAATTATTCTCACTCTTCTATCTCACTGTAAAAATTTAGATGAAAACTTTTTCGATATCTACGGCGTAAAGTTTATATAAGTTAAGTTTCGAACTATCGAAATTGCCGCTCGCACTCGCAAACTACTTGAAACAACCAATCACGTGCGTTAACGTTCTCACTGTTGAATGCGAGTCAATGCTTGATGGTCGATATCGACTACTGAATTGTGATTTCGATTATTGCCACTAGTTGGCGCTGATTTTATTCTATACAAATCGTAGTTAACTTTCTCGGGATCGAACACGTAAAAAAACCTCGCACTAGGCACACTAAAGTGAGTTAATGGTCAAAAAGTCATGTTTTGTCATAGGTTAAAATATTGATTCACTAAGATCCGCGTAATAAAAAAATATTGTGTCTTATCTAGTTTGAAGAGCACCTCCCGCTCTTTCTCAATTGCGTACAATATCCCCGTCATCACAATTCCCAGCACCATTACTCCCAACATCACTTCACTAGGAAAGAAAAGCGCCTATAATACTTTTCGCCTCTGAACAAGGGTTACCAGATCCAAAAATAAGTATTCCTGGCAAAATCCCTGCCTCAGCAATAAATTTCCTGACATTTCGGCATAGTGTATTTTTTTCAAAAACTCGCGAGTGAGCCTGATTATAAGTGTGAGATGCGGTGTAGTGGGGACACGGGGCGCGGCAAGGTGCGATGATAAACAACGCCGCCACCTCCCCACACACCGGGGCTTAGCGAGAGCACAGAAAAGGTACTATTACTCCTAGCGAGAGCGAGCGTGTAGAGCACAGAGTACTTTTTATATACTGAAACCGGTGTAGACCGGGCGCGCGCTGCGTGTCAATTAGTACTTTGCTTTGTACGCTTGCGGACGATGCTATACTTACTCGTGTTGTGTGTGCGTATTTGTGTGGCAAGCATTTATTTTATAACAAAAAGGCATCAATAAGAAGCCATTTTAGCTTATAACAAAATTGCTATAAGCTAAAATGGCTTCGAGTAGTAAACGTCAATGTACATTTACAGATATTTTACGTGAAACATATCCTTTGATGAGACAGGGACGAGAAACGTCTGAAGTTTTCCGTACAGTGTGTGATTGTTATATTTCCATAAAGGACAAAGGTGTGTTAGCGGATAATGCCAACGTAAATTTTGGAGGGATCAACAGACAAGCAGGAAGAAACGTTTTGACAAATCTTAAGAAAAAACTAAATAAGGAGATTGTTGGGATTGGTTGCACAGCACATATTTTGCATAATTGCATCCAACATGGTACTGATGTACTAAAAATAGATATCGAATCGCTGGTTATGAAGCGTTTTCATTTCTTTTCAGTATATACCGTGCGCACTGAAAGATTAAAATCAATTAGTGAATACATTGATATCAACTACCAAAAGTTGCTTTATCACAGTAAAACAAGGTGGCTGAACCTTTTTCCAGCTATAGAAAGAATTTTGAAAATGTATCTGCCTCCAAAAGAATACTTTTCGACAACTCCGCAAGTGCCGACAACAATTAAAGCTTTCTTCGAAAATGAACTCACAGAAAGTTATTTGTTTTTTGTGCATTCTCTTATGTCAGTTTTCCAGTGACAGATAGCAAAAATAGAACGGGAAAATAGCTCCCTCATGGATGTTCTAGGAATATTAAATTCGACCTCTGAAACGTTGAAGGCAAGAGCAGAGGCTACTTTCGTTCTGTTAAAAGTGCGTGAAGTGCTGTGAAATTGTACTGAAGAGGCCAAAGAAATATTTATAAGACGTGAACAATGCCTACATGACTTGCCTTGAATATTTGGAGAAAAGGTTGCAGCCCCTAGATGAATTCAAGGTCTTTTACTGGATGATACTGAAAGGTGTTGATATTGATTACGAGAAAGTTGTTTCTTCTTTGCAGTTTTTGAATAGATCTGGAGTGTTTTAAATGACGTTAAGCTTTTTGATGAAATTACTGCATTAAATTCTTCTTTAAGGCAACAAAGCAATGACTTTACTGAAATGGGGCCTGTTAAACAATGGGAAATTATTTTTAAAACTGTAACCAGACTGGAAGAACTGAATAAAATCTGCTGTTTTGTGTTTTCAATTCAAGCATAAAATGGTAATGTCGAACTAGTGTTTTTATTAATGGGTGCGCAGTGGACAACGAAAATAAATAAACTGTCCATAGTTTCTGTTCAGCCTCTAGAGTTGACACAGTTCAATCTGAAGAACTCATCATGTAAAGAGTTTAATAAAATTGTTATGAAAAACTAGCACCTGCTACAAGCTATATCCAGCAATGAAAAGTACGAGGACCAGATAAATAATTAATCAATTAATTGCGTGATATTTATTAGATTTCGTTCTTTGATTATTAGCAGTTCATAATTTGATTTTATTATAATATAGTTTCTTATATGTTTCTCTTTTCATAAAATTCCTGACAATTTCAAATTCTCCCTGTTTCCCTGACAGACAGCTAAAATTCCGGACATGTTAGGAAAATTTCTGTCATCTGGTAAACCTAGTCTCAACGAGATAGCATCAGTTGAAATAGACTCTGCAGAGGCTGACTGTTAAGTGAAAATATTTTTTGGAACGAAGTTCCTTATCGTACGGTACGAATTTTGCGGATGGGGACTAGGCGAGAAAAATGTAAGATTTTTCCGTCACGACTCCCTTTCTATAGTGCGAGCGAGATGGAATAATATCCAACTCCCTCACACTTTTTCTTATCTTGCCATGAAAGAAATATTATTTTATATGACGCTTCATTTTAATAGACCCTAGTAATTCATTTATATTTGTATTTGTTAATCAATAATATTACGTTTATCAATAATAATATACTACGAAAGGAACTTCGTTCCAAACGAGGATTCAACGACAGTCACCCATATTTTTTTTTTATTACGCGGATCTGTTCTGTATGTTCTTAATTTTTAATATCTTTAAAATAATGGATTTCCGAAAAGTAACACCTGATTTGTTAATTATTTTGTCAATTTTTTCTCTAATAGAAGTGGAACAAACGAGCATGCGGCTCACTTTACGTTAAGTGTCGACCGCCACCCATGAACAACTGCAACACCAGGGGAATCGCAAGTGCGTTGCCGGCCTTTTAAAATAGAGTAGGCTTTGAATTTGAGCAGAACTGACGTAGCACATTTCATAATATTCTATCCCAACCAAATGGCGATGATTTTGTTCGAATCAATGGCCCATATAGTATAATAAGTATTAAATAACGTTATATGAGAATGTGATGTATGTTAGAGCATGATGGGAGTGACATACGCCAAGCGGTAAATGTCCCTTAAATTATTGTAGAATAAAAAAAATAGACTAGGTTCTTTTCTTTCCCTAAGTCGTATCGGTCCGGAAATAAAGCCGACGATGGTATCAGGATGTCGATGGCAGAACTTGGCTACTACTTCACATTTGTTAAAGCTTATGTGGCGTAAGGTTTCCTTGGTCTATGACAGATATATGTATACAGCTTTGTCAATGAAGAAAAATAAAAAGGATGAAAAGGAATTGTAAAATGTTAAGATGACAGAATAAAATTGTCGCATCTTTATGCTTTAATTATTTGGTCTGGAGGAACAAAACATCCTCCATACCTTATATATTATTTTGCACAAAAACGTTTTAATAGCAATCAACAAATTCTCACTGTGGTATATTGACGAATCCGCAGGCGTCTTGCTCGAAGTTGCAGTATGAGCCATAGGGCATTTTATCTGTAAATATAAAAGGATATTGTATTATTTGCAATTAATGACATAAATTATTATAATTGTAGCACGAATAGGTGGGCTTGACCGAGAAAGTATCACGCTCTCACAGAATACCAGCGTGAAATAACAGCTTAATACTGATGTGTTTCGAAGGGTGAGTGTACCATCTTAAACCTTAAGGTGACACTAGTCGACAATATTTCCATACAAATTTCGGAGGGGTTTTACTACGCTGTTTGACAGTGTACATCCAAAGTTAAACATGATATCGTTTTGTCTCATTATTAAATTTGTCTGTACGGAAACAGAATAGTAAAATAAAATGTTATTAAAAAGTTACGAGCTACCAAAGATTCGTTTTTATTGCCAATTTTAACACAACTTTGGGCGTAAATTAGTAATAAAAGAAGTGTAAAATTTCCAAAACAAAGTCGGTACCGACACAGCTCAATTATCGAAGAATTCAATAAATTTTATTTGTAATTGATTTATGCAGTGGTTTTTTCATAAAACCCCTTCTTCTAAAGGCCTTTTCGTATTTTTTTACGCGCGTATGTTACTATGAATTATCGTGCATCTCACTGAATAATGTTTCCCCCGGTGCGGTGCGGGAGGACGACGCTTACACACACATGCACGGGCGGTGACGCGCGCTCATTCGAGTTCTATTCGAAACGAAAAGTTTTGCTATTTTGTAATTTGGACGCCAAAGACAAAAGGCAGCATGGAAATTGATATAATTGAAAGAGATGAATGATGCGTTTTGGACGACAGACAATATTGTAAAATTTTCGTCTGTAATATAATATAATTTATAAAGGTAAAAAAAGTAGTCTATATACGATTACTATATAAAATTGCAACAATTTCATTGGTGCCGACGGGGATCGAACCCGGGTTGCTCGCGTAATGTGATACTTACGGCGAGCGCTAACCATCTGAGCTACCACGGCCCTCAATGCAAGTGTTATAAATAAATAAAGAATTACAAAACAGTTTAATTATTTATTAGACGACTCTTGCGGTGGACAAACAAGGCATATTATGTGGGATTTTCATAGGTACCTACTGTTATTACCTAGATACCTACAACCTACAATACAACAAAATGTCACAAAACGTCACCGCGTCGTGGCCACAAAATTGTAAACTTTAGGTAGGTACGTCAGTACTAAGAAAACAATCTTGATGGGTCACTTGTCTTGATAAAAACCTGTGTTTACATTTAGTGATATTGAGTATATATAAAAAAGTAAGAAGACAGGTAAGTATTTTTGAAAACGATTTATAGGTAGGCAGAACTAATTACAATTATTATCTAAATATTATAAATGCGAAAGTTTGGATATTTGGATGGACGGATGAATGGATGTATGTTACTCAATCACACCAGAACCGCTGAAGGGACCTGGATGATATTTTGCTCAGAGATAGGTTGTAGTCTGGAATTTTATTATTTTTTTTATTTAAAAAAAAAAACGTTACCCCCACACTAGGATTTTCTCCTGTATCGTGGAGGCAGTTTACAAACATCCAGACCCGGAACAACTATTTGCAGGCCATACAAATACTTGTTCCGTGCGGGATTCGAACCCGCGGCTGCCAGTGCAACAATTCATTGCTAAGCAACTGCGCCACGGAGCTGTAAATAACATATATGATACCGTTTATTCAGGTATTTCGTTCCCGTTGGATAATTTTTGCAGTTATACACGTTCGAAGCCGAACTCTTGAGTGATCGCTGCATTTTTTCCCGAGTGGTCACTCGGGAAAAACTAAACATAATAAAGTAAGCAATCTATATTAGGTATATAGAGCCACAGAGGTATAATATGAAGCGATAAAGCAGCGCCTAATAATTTCGCGGTTTCACCCGCGTCATCACGTGTCCGAGATGCGTGGCATGACATGACACCTAGTTCAAGCATTTTATAATTGCAATCAAATATTTTATTTGATAATAATGTATGGAAAAATTGTCATAATTAATGGAGTACTTTTATTTTATCTGTCGGCATACTATGCGCGGTTTTATCCAGTTTTAAAGAAAAACGTACACGATACATGAAAGTGTGTAGGCAAGAAATGATTCTTGATAAATTTGCTATCAACCTCTTATACTTATTAATCAATTAAACTTTCAAAATACCATAGCAACGTGAAATGAAAGAGTTCAGAAATAAAGATGTAACTAATCATTGTTACGCTCACCTGGGAGATAAATAAAAGCACTCAGTTAATTTTGAATTTATTTTAGCTACCAGCTGTTCCCCGCGACTTCGTCCGCATTTAGTTTAGGGTGTTAATTTTGTTGCACGGACACCTAATAATTTTTCTAAAATTTAAGCAGTCTAAGTTACTTCTTATAACATGAGCTATCTACTAGTGAAAGTCCCGTCAAAATCGGTCCAGCCGTTTTGGAAATTAATCGGAACAAACAGACTGATAGACATACAAAACTGTTGAAAATAGTGTTAATGTTATAAGTAGCGTATATAATTTCATATGCAATTAGTAAAAAGCTGTTATTTTGACATTACAAACAGACACTTCAATTTTATTTATTTGTGTAGATATAGATAATGATTGAACTAACGGCTAACCTAACCTCGCTCATAGAAGCTTTCAATACTGGCTTCTCAGTTCACACCGGGCTAAGGGTTATGCGTTGTTTGCGCGTCAAGGCCAAGTATTGAATTATTTTAATTTTACATTATCTCTTAAACTATGTACTATATAAACATGGTATAAAGAACGAACTTTATCTTCAAAAAATTGTCTTGATAATGAAGTAACTTTCGTTCGTAAGGACTAAGTATAAAAATGCCATGCCTAATAATTAAATTTTCATTTTTTTTGTCAAAATCAAAATGCCTAATTGTGGCTTATATATAAAAAATAGACATATGGTATCGCGGACTTTTTTTTAGACGGAGTAAAGATCTATATTTTCTGCTTTATTATATTAGTATAGATGTTGCATCGTGTTCGTGTAACTTCGTTTTTGTTCAAACGGTTTTGAATGCCGTACGAACAAGACGTGCGTGAATACTAGTGTCGATATGCTCATCACTGATACTATCTCTGTCGGGCACGATGCCAGGTGAGACAGCGAGCTTTTTGGCCGCGCCCACCAGCGAGTTCGAGCCCGCGACTTGTGCCACCTTAAGGGTAACAACGCGTCTGATTTTAGATTCTTAATCGAAGATAGATGAAGATATCTATGGGCCACAACATCCACTTATCATGGTGGACTGTCTGCTTATTTGTCTTCTTCATCTTCTAAAAAAAAGTAAAGTTACAGTCTATATACGTCTCAGTACTGGACATGGGCCTCCACTCATTTCTGAGAGAGTCCTGAAAGTCTGGTAAACATGTCCTTTATAAACGAATTTCTTAGTCATGAAGGTTTTCTTAATTCTCATGATGTGTAGTCAAGCAGAGGCTCATATTGATTTAAAATGACCCATCAATGCCAAAAACGTAGAAAATCATGGTCTAAGTCAGAATAGTAATATTCTCTAAAGTTATCACCACTGCAAACCTGTTGAAGTGAACCCAAAACATTAAACCCAAAAGATCAAGCAAACTGATGATGAAGAAGAAGAAAGATTATTCTTCTTATAAGTAACGATAGAAGATTATTTTTAAACAAGTCATGGTGAAAACAAGCATACTGTCCACGTGATGGTAAATGTCTGGTGTAGCCCACACTTATCTATCCTATATCTATATATCATTGAATAAGAATCAAAATGCAGATGCGTTGTCATCCCCCAAGACTTGTATAGAATGCCTCTTCATCAGTAAAAAAGATCTGCAGTACAACTTGAAGATACAAATATTTAAAGTAAAGAAAGAAAAATTTGGGTAGGTGGTGTGACTGTCTTTAAGACTGTGTCCTACAGTACAGTTGTTGAACGGATATTTCTGACACTACAATATATTTTAACGCCCCCCCCCCCTTATATAGAAATAGATAATAGCTTTATATGGAAATAAAAAAATCAATGGGATACGATAATCAACAAAATATACAACTTACCGCAATTTTGATTTTCATCGCTGCCGTCATCGCAATCTTTGACCAGATCGCAGACTTGTTGCAACTTGATGCAGGATTCCTTCTGCGAGTTAATAATTGAATAATCTTATTAAATATTTATTTCTAAGTAACCTATATATTATAATATTTTAAAAATATTCTAAATAAATATTAGCGTAAGGTGTCAGCTTTAGAGGTGACCCAATCTCGACTCATGGCTATCATAAGAATCAGTCATGATACCTGGGAGATACATCCAAAAAGTAATGCTCTTAAATTAATTGTTTCATATTTAAGTAACAGAACGCAAAAAGTTGTCATTAATAGTATGAGCTCTTCCAGATCGATAGTAGTAGTACAAATGAGCGTGCCTCAAGGCTCAATTCTCGGCCCCTTTCTGTTTCTTGTATATATTAATGTCTTACCTTACATAGTAGGTTATAACCACAATATAGTATTATTTGCTGATGACACTTCATTAATTTTCAAATTAATTTTCAAAAATTCCGATAGATAGCGGTACTCGATGCTCGCCTATGTCAGAATAAATAATAGTACTAACTTACTAACTTAAACTTCGAAAGGTACTAGAAATAGCGACAAAGTTGCGATACACATCTCGGTAACAATTCGCCTAATCAATGCCAAGTTATGGACTCTTTACTGATGATAAAGACCACGCTAACAGCCAAAATGTATAAACTTTAAACAATTTTCTTCATTAGAAGATTTACATATATTGAGGAGAACGATGAGGTATTTTTTTGACTTTTGTGTAGCCTTTAAACGAGGCAATCTCGTTGAATTCATCTGTTGCTTGCTAAACGAGTTGTTTAACTGAATTTTTTGGAATAGGCTTGTGATCAGTGTCCCAGATTTCATCTACTACTAAACATGTGCACCTCTTATAGATTACCTTATAGGCATTATATTTGCCATAGTTGCCACGCTTGGCAGTCGGGACAGCAATCGCAGATTTTCATTTTCTAGGTTGTTATAAGGAATACGCTGTTGGCCATTTCCTCCAAGTTTAGCTTAAAAATACTTAATGAATTCAAGGTAAAATCGACTATAGTTACTATAGGAAACCTAGAAAGTTATAAGTACCATCTACATTGACATGAAATTAAGATGTTTACATAATTACTATTAAACAACTTAGGGTGTTCCGAAAGGAGCACCAAATAGGCCCTCTTTTATTTAATGTACTTACATTCATAATAGTGCACTTAAGCTGCTTATGCTGACATTCCCCATTGAAGACTGGGGGCTCTGGTAGACATTCCACCATTCGGATGTTGTCGAAAGCGATGTGAGGCAAGCTTTGTGTTAGGCTGACGTAAGTGGGCCTCGTGACCTCGACGATTATGCGCACTTCTTGCTGCATTTTTCCGATCATGAAACGCAATGGATACCAACTGGAACAATGTTAAAAAAATAGAGTATTACTTAATAGAATTACCAAAATAATTCGTTATTCATACCAAATACTCTATTATAGTAATGTACGATTTGTTTCATATTTATCTGGGACTTTAAAGTTCTATGTTTATTAGGGACTAGTGATAGGACCTGGTATAATTGTGAATCTAAACCATCCAGGATCCTCCAATCCAAGGTTCAAACGTACACAAAAATTTTCATCAAAATCATTCGAGCCGTTTTCGAGTTTTAGCGAGACTAACGGGCAGCAATTGATTGTTATATATAGAGATTTATAACAAAAAAAAAAGAATGTACCATCTGTAAATCTTGCCCATGCCCATGCAAAAGCCCATGTCTTGTAGTGGACTTTTATGGGTTGGTATAAGTTGCCGAACAAATGTTTGGTTTTATAAATGTTTTTTCTTTCGTACACTTTCTTCAATGTCGTAAGCTTGGTTTTGACATACACAAGTGAACTTAATTGGTTTACTATCGCAGATTAAGTATTAACTACTAAGTAACACACATCAAATGAGTTTTGTGATCAAGAGGATAGTGACAACTGGGCTGGTTCTTTATTCGCTCTTGGCGCTATATCTCAGAGAGTTGCATTATATGATAATTTTAGTTTTAAAGTGAAGTTTAATTGTAATAGTGTATATTATTACATTATTAAAATCAGACTAATTTTATTCTAAGTAGTGCTTGGGATAAATTTTAAATTAGAAACTTGGATTGTTTGTAATTCAGTAAGTACTTATTAGTATAATAATAATACGTTTATTGCGGTAATCTTGTTAACAACAAAATACTTAGATTTCCCAGTGAGTAATCAGAGGATACTCGTTGGGAATGACCCGCTACTTCCCTTAAGGATTACAAAAAAGTAAGATTACAAAAAGTTTAACCTCTAGAAATTTGTAAATTGTAAATAGTATCCATAGAGTCAGTAAATCAATCTTGAGGCAATGCATTTTGTTTACAACAAATGCTTATAAAATGTACTAAATTTACCCACTGCCAGGTTCAAAAACTTAAAAACAATAATCGAATAAAAATGGTTAATAAAATATTTAAGAATTTATGAATGATAACCATTGTGAGTGAGATGGTTTCCAAGCTATGTCAAATAAAATTTTTAATTATTGTAAACTATTATTTTTCAACAAAAATAAACGTCCCACTGGTCTTGGGTAGAAACCCAGGTTCAAACCAGTGATAAATTTAACATTTAACAAACACCAAACAAATCAAGACAATTAGTATCATTTATAATCTACATTGAATTTAAAAAAAAATACTATTTATATTTCAAGGTGGGCTTCGGTCTCCGAGCTATGTGGCTTTGTCGACTAGTTCATTAATATATACATTAGAAGCATGTATCTCAACTTACATTTCGAAGTTGTTTCCTGCAACCTCTTGCAGTATCCACTGCACCTCTGACATTGTAGACTCCGATACTAGTCTTATGCTCGCGTTCTGCATCTTGCTCTGATGAAGTCTTGCTTCGAACTGTATGGTAGGAAAAATTTGTATTTCAATATAAGCATGCCTCTTCACCGCAAAAAGGGGCTGTTGACATTGGTTCATAATTATATATTATATTTACACGAATACTTCACATTGATTAAAACTAATTTTACGGACTTTATCGCGTTTAATTCCATATAATAAGGGCGTCAAACGAACATAGTCTTTTTTTTAAACGTTACCCCCACACTAAAATTTTCTCCTGTATCGTGGAGGCAGTTTACAAACACAAATTGCACAAAGACAAACATCCAGACTGGAACAATTATTTGTAGGCTTGGTTGTACTATGTATGTTTTTATTTGTTTGTAGGCTTGTTCCGTGCGGGTGCGGTTCCATGCATTGCAACTTATTGCTTAGCCACTGCGCCACGGAGCCGTCAAGTCCACCTTATGATAAGATGGCGTATAGACATCTACATCAATCCTCGATGACAAATCACAACGCATTTGTATTTTGGGGTGAACCAGAGAAATAAGGTGGAATGCCTCGTTTCAAGTGAAAAGGATTTTCGGTTCTTTTTACTCACCATACGAAACACAGCAGCGTTAAGCTTTTTTTTTACAATGCTATTCTGTTAAAGGGCAGGTCTTCACCAGTCGAGCAGATCCATTCGTGCTAGAACCAAGCTTTAAATTTAACTTTTATTCCTTATTTTAATTCTCGATGTTTCGGATACTTTACAGCACACATAGTCACAGAAGGTCACATTGGCTCTTCTTCCGAGATGTATAATTGAATCACGTGACTTAGTTCCGCCTTCTCGACTTCTACCATCGGACAACGAGACACTCGGCCAATATTTTGCTTGTCGGTATACCACACATTTAAACCAAATGGTTTGCTTCATTATTTGTAATACGTACAGCAATGGAGTGGAATAATTTTCCATCAGTTTCTTTCCATCCGTTTACAATGTGAATGTCTTCAAGGCAAGATTGAATAGACTTTTGTTAATCTAAATCACTGCGTTTCACCATCTTTGGCTACATCACTACTTATCTTTGAGAACCGCCACATTACCATATGCAATTCCTCTGGTGTTGAAGTTGTTCATAGGCGGCGGAAGTAACTAACTGTCAGGTGAGCCGTATGCTCGTTTGCCCCCACTTTTATATAAAACTAGCCATCCGCCCCGGCTTCACACGGGAGATTTCAGGATCTCGACAACTAACGGGTCCAAATGTGAATCTGAACTGTCTAAGGACCCATTCAAACACATACAATTTTTTTTTTATCAAAATCCGTTGCGTAGTTTAAATGATCTAAGCAGACGGCGGGAAGCGACTTTGTTTTACACGGAGGGTGTATTGAGAGAAGGGGGATTATCAAGTATAGGTTTACAATAGTTAAAAAGTTAATAATGAGACATGGTGCATTGGGGCGATCTAAATTGCAGCGCAGTAAGTTGTTAAATAATATTTTCTTAGGTCCCATCCACATTCAAACTGTAACTTACCTTACAAAATTCGGAGAGTCCACGGAACGGCGGTGACTTAATAACCATGTTCTCCATAGTTGGGTCAACGGGCAGATATAAGAAGTGACCTGAAACGGAAAGGATTTACTTAAGTTTGATTTAATTAAAGAGGCCGTATAGGGGCAGGACGTGATTGTGAAATGACGGTGTCGAAACTGTAGTAGCGATGGAAGAATATTCTCTATCCCATATCATCCCGGAGATTTCGTAAGAGGTCACATAGCGAAACAAACCAGGATAACCACTAAAAAATGCGTGAGTGTCGTGGAACACTCGGTTGGAACGAAGTTCCTTGCATAGTATATTATTATTGGTAAACGTAGGTATCATATTATTGATTAACAAATACAAATAAATTAATTACTAGTGTCTATTAAAATGAAGCGTCATACGAAATAAAATTTCTTTCATGGCAAGATAAGAAAAAGTGCGAGGGAGATGGATATTATTTCATCTCACTTCCTTATTTCGCCGCCAAGGCCGTCTACACTATGACACAAGGGGTAGTGACGAAAAATCTTACACTTTTTATCGCCTAGCACCCATCCGCCGAATCCGTACCGTCCGATAAAGAACTTCGTTCCAATAAAAAATAACTGGCCCTATGGAGCAATCTATGGGAAAGCCAAAAGGTCAGCAGGGGACTTTAACGATAGAGGCAGGATAAGGGAACCTCATTTGAAGTATGATAAATGTCAGAAAGTCAGAAAGATCTTAATAATAGTAATTTTTATATATTTATGTATTTTTTATGTATTTATTCTATTTTATTGATATTTATGTATGTTTATATATTTCGTTTACAATTATATAAAAAACAGCCCAACCAGATGAGAAAACTTTACAGATAACCCGAATAATAATAACAATAAAGTCTTTATTTATCTTCTCACATAACATAAAGTAAAACAATGTAAATCTAGTAGTACATATACAGAATTTTATTATGTGAGAAGCTGGTGCCTGAAGTAGGCATATATAAGCCTGTAGTACAAGTCACCAGGTTCTCACCACTCGAATGCTATGACATTGTATGAAATTATTCTAGGAATACAATAGATAGATAGATAAAAAAAGTAATTCTTATATTGTAATGAAATATAATTACAACGAAGATCCAGGATAAAATACTAATTCTGAGTGTATTAGGATATAAAATGTATAAATACATATATGTATATATGGTGTTATATATTTATGTTAGTGTAGTGTAGTGTATTGTATGCGTACGTGCGTGTGTATGGTGGGAGGGGGGGGGAGGGGTGTACATTATATTTATCTTGAAAGGAGCGATTCCGTTAAATCATAATCTAATGCGTAGACGAAGGTGTCATCAGGTGAACTGTGTGATCGTTTGTCAACTTTTAAGTCTATGAAAAAATTCTCATGGCTGACCTTAAATACGCAGCAACAGAAAGGTGCTAGAAATCTGAAGAAATCTAAATTGCCTATCCGCCTAGGAAGTGTGAAGATAATTAGGGAAAGCAGGGGGAATGACGCTCATCGGATAATACCGCTCACCCAAATAATTTGATAAATATAGTGTATAGAAAAACGTCACGGGGTTTGATGTGCTTGGTACGTGACGCTTGAGCAAGTAGTGACAAGTAACTCCTGTCTACTTGCAGCACGGAAAGTTGAATTGCGTGCGTTTGTTTGCGACAACGCTGATGTATATTATATAGTATATATATATAGTATACAGTACCCGCGACGCAAAAATAGGTCTGTTATAAATTTGATCTCTATGTGTATCTGTCTGTGGCACCGTAAACGGGTCAACCGATTTGGGTGCGGTTTTTTTAGTTTAAATATATTATTATCATCATCATCATTACAGCCTTTTATAAGTCCACTGCTGAATATAGGCCTCCTCCAAGGAATGCCACAAAGCACGGTCCTGAGCCCCCTGCATCCATCGACTACCTGCATGTCTTACCAGGTCGTCACTCCATCTCATGGCGGGTCGCCCTACACTTCGCCTACCGGTACGAGGCTGCCACTCTAGAACCTTTCTTCCCCATCGGTTGTCGGTTCTTCGAGCTATATGGCCGGCCCACTGCCACTTCAGCTTACTAATCCGTTGGGCTATGTTTACTCTAGTTCTACTGCGGATATCCTCATTTCTAACTTTATCACGCAGAGAAACCCCGAGCATAGACCTCTCCATAGCCCGCTGAGCGACCTTGAGCTTCCTCATACGGCCAGCAGTGAAGGACCACGTCTCAGATCCGTAAGTCATCACTGGCAACACGCACTGGTTGTACAATTTCGTTTGAGTTAGCTTCCCGAACGCTGCCCAGCCGAGTTGAATCCGACGATTGACTTCTCGGTCTACCTAGTCGGACTATTTGTCCCAGGTAAACATACTCGTCAACAACTTCGAGTTTAGTGCTCCCAACAACTACCGGCGGTGAACGGTGACATGGACATTAAACATAGTAGGGGATAACCATGATATAGTATTATTTGCAGACGACACTTCTTTAATTTTCAAATTAAGTCGACAATTACTAAAATATGACGAAGTAAATAATGCTATATCTAAATTAGTAAATTGGTTCGATGTTAATAATTTGCATTTAAATGGCACTAAAACTAAATGTATGAAATTCGTGACTCCAAATGTCAAACAATTAAATACAAATGTAATTTTAAACGGGGAGAAACTGAGTCTTGTAGATACCACAATTTTTCTTGGTAGCGCGACACTAGACGCGAAGCTTCAATGGAGCCCCCATATATCAAAACTAGCAAGCAGACTTAGTTCTGCAGCATATGCTGTAAAAAAGATTAGAAGTCTAACCAGTGTTGAAACAGCTAGATTAGTTTACTTTAGCTATTTCCATAGCATAATGTCGTATGCTCGTATTTTGCTATGGGGACACGCAGCTGACACTGAAATTATATTTGTTTTACAGAAGAGGGCCATAAGAGCAATTTATGATTTAAAGCCTAAAGAGTCGCTGCGACAAAAATTTAAGGAAATTAATATATTAACTTTGGCCTCTCAATACATTTATGAAAATGTAATGTACGTACACAAAACTAAAAGTAGTTTTACAAAAATAAGTGATATTCATTCTGTAAATACTAGGAACAGACACAAGCTAGTAGTACCAGTTACTCGACTCCATCGAGTCAGTAATTCATTCTTGGGGCCATGTATACGCTTTTACAACAAAATTCCAGAAAATATACAAAGATTGACCTGCTCAAAGTTCAAAAACTTTATTAAACTAAGTTTGTATAAAAAGGGTTATTATAATATTAAGGAATTTATGGATGATAATAACCCCTGGAAATGAGGTGATCGCTACCAAGCTATTTCTAATTTGTTGTGTTGTTAATTTGTGTAACATCATGATTGTAAGCTGTTATTTAAAAAAAAAGTCCCGCTGGGTTTCTTGCTGGTTCTTCCCAGGACAGAGGTTTTTTCCGAACCAGTGGTAATCAAACAAAAGAGTGAGTTTCAATAAGTATTATTTATAATCTATATTGAATAAAAAAAATTCTGTTTCTGTTTCTGTTTCTGATCTTTGTTTTGTCCATGTTCATTTTTTTTCATTAGGAAACTCAACAGCATATTTTTAACAAACATACTTAAAATAAGAAGAAGAGTTTCGAGGATATAACATCACCCTGTCTTACACCTCTCTGCAATTGGATAGGTTACGTACTCTGGTTCTGTACTCGGATAGCCATTTTAGCCCTACTGTACAAGCACTTCAGCACTTCGATACACTGACAGTCAACTTGGCACCGCTGAAGGGACTGCAGCACCGCCCAAATATCGACGGAATCAAAGGCTTTCTCATAGTCCACATACGCCAGACATAGTGGCAAATTGTACTCCTCGGACTTCTGTACAATTTGCCGAAGGGTATGTATGTGGTCTATGGTGCTAAAGCCCTTTCGGAAACCGGCTTGTTCGGGAGGCTGGAAGTCGTCAAGTCTGCGCGCGAGACGATTCGTAATGACTCTCGAAAACAGCACGTAGACACGGCTCAGAAGGGAAATCGGTCTGTAGTTCTTCAAGAGTGCGTTGTTACCTTCCTTGAAGAACAAGACCACCGCACTTCTGCTCCACGCCTCCGGTGTAATGCCACCATGGAGGACGGTATTGAAGAGCTTCTGAAGAACTTTAAGTACTGGTTTTCCACCCGCTTTCAGAAGCTCCGCTGTAATTCCATCCTCACCTGGGGCCTTGCGGTTTTTAAGGTGCTCGAGGGCCATTCTAATCTCGCTCAGACTGCCGTCCGGGATATCTTTGGAATAGTGTCGGATAAGACTCGCTCTTGGATCATTACTCACACTTGCGTGTGGCTCCAGCGATGACGTGTACAGTTACCCATAGAACCTCTCAATCTCACTCAAAATCTCAGGTGCCCCGGAAACGATGCTTCCACACTCGGTCTGCAGCTTTGACAGTTGCCTCTTTCTAGCAGACAGATCTCTGGCAAAGACTTTGGAGCCTTGGTTCCGCTCGATCGCTTCTTCAATACAAGCTGTATTAAAGTTGCGTAAGTCCCGCCGCATGCATTTGGAGATCTGTCTATTCAGTTGCTTGTACGCTGTCAAATCTGTTGAAGAATGTGGCTTAACCTCCCGTCTAACAGCCATGAGATTAAGAGTGTGATCGGAGAGTTTTTGCGTTCTTCTGCGGCGGATCTAGTAGAACTTAGCTCCGACCGCATGGACAGTTTCCACGAGCTTCCACTTCATTGCAGTCTTCTAGGCACTGAAAACGGTTTTGTAACTCGAGCTGAAAGGTTTTGGGACTTTGGAACAGAGCACGAGGGGGACGGAGCGTTGACTTCATTAGACGAAACATCTCCAACTTAACGTTTAGGTTCAGTGTGCCTCTAACCATCCGGTGATCGCTACCAGTTTTCACCCTCGCGATCACGGTGACATCACTGAACAGTTGTCGTCTGGTCGTCATAATGAAGTCAATCTCATTTTTTGTCGAACCGTCGGGGCTCGACCAGGTGCACTTCCTGTGAGGCCGCTTCTGGAAGAAAGAGTTCATCATAAAGAGTCCCTCTTTCTCCATGAAGTCGGCTCT